TCCAGTACCCACGATTTTCATTCCAAGCCAACGTATAGCGATAGTCTTCACCCAAAAGCGCAAAACGTACAGACGATGGATCGCTGCGGTCGGAGCTGACGGTGGTCTTCTTCTTCTTCCCGCATCCGGCGAGCAGCAGCGGCGGCAACACGGCCGTCAGCAGCCCAAAACCGAGTGTGAGGCCCGCCTGAAGAATATTGTCGTGGCCTCGGCAGTACAAAGTTGCGTTCTTTAGAGCTATCGAAACCAAGTTAAAACAAAACACATTTTTTAGGGTTAGAGTGCAGTTTACCCCCCCCTGCCGTATCTCGGGTCCCTGTTCATCTACAGGTGTGTAAAGTATACTAAAATACTCGCCAGAGCAAGACGAACATTTTGGAGCACTTTACACACCTGTAGATCAACAGGGGGCCGAGATACGGTAGGTGGGGGTCGGCTAGGGGGGGTAAACTGCACTCAAGCCTTTTTTACTTGTAATTCTGTTCGAAAATCGGCATTTTCCCCAAGAATCTGTTGTTTTTTTGCATTTTTTACTAAAATCTATAAAGTTTTACGTTTAGAAGCAGTAAAAACAGCTTAGAAACAGCATTAGGTTTAGTTCTATTGGTATTAGCAAATCTAGAGACTAACGTCAAAAACCTGGGGCAAAATGAAACTCACTTGAAAATAACTGTCGAATATATCTAGCATTTCTGTAGCAAACGCGCGCGCGCCTCAGCGCTAGGGTAGTAGAAAATGGGTGTGGGCTCTTCGGCTCCGCGTTTCACCGCTTACCGGATATTGAACGGTCAATTATGCAAATTTGAAGCTACTTGGGCGCGGTCAGAGCCGGAATTTTTCGAGGTTTTCTCAAATATTTGACGTTTTTCACAACGAAATGAATTTGTCACAACACTTTTAGGCTTTCCCTTTCGTTTTTCGGCAAAAGCTCCGATACTTCGACAAAATATTTTTTCTTAGTAACCAATTTTTAAATACAAATAGCGTAAGTATTTCTAAACTGTTATTTACTATTCCTAAACGTAGAAACGTCACAAATTTTTGTTCAAAAATACAAAAAAAAATCTAGAGTTTTCGACCAAAAAGGGCGGTTTTTATCAAAGTTTCGACTTTTTCAAAGTTTTAGCTAGTTTTTCTAGTTCAAAATAGTTTTATTTTACCAAAAAGAATATGAAAATATTTCCTATTAAGTTACTAGGCATTTCTAGATTGGTACAAAAAAAATTTGCACCCCCCCCCCCCCCCCCGATAATGCGAAAGAACCACCCTTTAATTATTTTCGGCAAGCTTCGATTCCACACACTCAAATTTGGACTTTTTGACCCCTGTAAAAAATGGTTTTTGCGGGACCGGGGAATTTGTGTTTTCTTTCCGACTTTTCGGGACGTATCGTCACGTAGCAATGGCCGCATAAAACCATCTAACTCGATCTGATTGACCTGCAGATGTCTTTTTCTGAGATAATCTTAACAATCCCACGTTCTCCGCTTTTTATAGGGTATAATTGGGTCATTACGGGCCCCGGGGGCATTTTTCATCGATCCGCCAGACTCCGCCTCTACCTGGGATCCCGATATCTGGATAGATATCCCTCATTCTTCACCATCATGACAACCAACCCAGAGACCCACACGAATCCCAGTAAGTTTTGCTGTTTTTTGGTTCTTATCGTTTATCGGGGGCGGGCGCAGCAAGCCATTACGATGCTTAGCAAAAGCTAGTCAATTTTTACGGAATTTTAGGTGCTAGATTGTTAGCGGGGGTGGAAAGCAAATTTTTCCGAGTACGCCCGTACAACTTTATGATCTAATCCAGCCAATTTTTATAGCATTTGACGCAGTTTTTCAACATAAAAATCTCTTCGAAATTAAACCATTCTTTCGTCAATTCCAGGCCTTTTATCCAAAAAATATGGAGCATACCCAAAAACTCAGATTTTTACGATATTTTTACGTTTTCTTGGCAACGAAAAACGACTAAAAACACTCGAAAAATACGGAAGCTGGGCTATATGCTGAAAAATAAAAAAGTTGCTGTTTGATCAGACGAAACAATGTTAATAATCCGATTTTGCAGATTTTCTGGTTGCCCCAGACAGCGTAGCTACCCCGTCATGGTCGGACCGTCTGAAGGCACTCACCGCCGTCTCGTGCCCGAAAGCTCTTTGCCTGGCCATCACGTAAGTTTGGCGTGCTACATAACAAAAATATCCTATGTAAATGCGGCTGTAAAGCTAATTTGGCTAAAGTGCAGTTTACCCCCCCCTGCCGTATCTCGGGTCCCTGTTCATCTACAGGTGTGTAAAGTATACCAAAATACTCGCCAGTGCAAGACGAACATTTTGGTATACTTTACACACCTGTAGATGAACAGGCAGCCGAGATACACAAGTTGAGATCCGGCTGGGGGTATCTGGAGTCTTACCTTTTAGGCCTTTTTAGTAGTCAAAAACTTCTAAAAACACCATAAAAATCAAATTGGGTGGGTAAACAGCACTCTAACCGCTAATTTTCGACATTTTCGCTATTTTTGCGACATTTCAACGATGCGAGCCGATAGAGCGTCAAAAATAAAATAAAAGTTTTGATTTGCGCACAAAAACGTCTTATCTTACTATATATAAAAAAATAGTGTCTGTGTGTGCGCATTGAAAATGTTGAAAAATAGGACACCCCTCTTTGTTAGGAAATAGTTAGCCTACGCCGGAAATGGCGATAGCCTATATAATCGGAAAGAGGGAGCGTCTTTTCGTTTTTTCGTTATCGGGATTCAGGAAAATTATGTAAAGCGAAGAACATTGTAGGGTCAGACGGGGCCAGGGTTGAAAAGTCGCGAAGCGGCTTTTCAACCCTGGTGTAATCTAAAAAAGCTATGATTTAGATCTAAATACGTCAGGGGCACGGGGAAAACTAGTTTTTGACACTTACGATCGTTCTAAAAATTCGATCGAGCGTCAAAAGTTATACAAGAGCTTGCATTTCAGCCCAAAGTAATGCAAAATATAATCGTGAAGGCTAACAACAAGCAAAATTTGGCTAAAAAAAGTTTCAAAAACGTGTAATTTCGGGACTTGGCTGTTAGGAGGGTGGCACTAGCTTATCTACTCCATCTGGAAATTTCGACAGTTTTATGGCCTTTTAATAGCTTTCATTGCTTAAAAAACCATAGAAACAAACGTCGAAAAAATTCAAAAAATTTGAATTTTTGCCCAAGGGGAAATTATCGAAAATCTATTTTTTTTCTAGATTTTTTAGACTCGAAAACGGCGTAATCGGAGGGAAAAACGTCAAAATTTCGTTAACATTAGGCCAAATTCAGCCTCCTTACCCCCCCCCTCCCCGCTAAGCGTCCAGTAACTTAATTTCTACTGAAATCATCAAAACAACCTGTAATTGCAGACAAGCCCTCTTTCTGTGGTGGGTGACTCCCCAGAGTGAGTCTCTCCGGGCCTTTCTGCCCTTCTTCATCCTCCACATCATCATCATGTTCTTTGCCGGCATCAGACACCGTGGCGGATTTCTATACAAATCGACGAACAACTTGTCCCTAATCGCCCTCGCCCTGCCGACCTTGTTGCTGTCGACGGCCGCCCTTTGTACGTTCGAGAAGCCATGTTAGAACAGACTCAAAAGATCCGCCTATCTTTAACCGCCCTACGAGTTAGAGAATTTTTAGAACACTCCGTTAGAGAGAGAGAGAGCGAGAGAGAGAGAGAGAGTGCGAGAGAGCGAGAGAGCGAGAGTTGGAGAGAGCGAGCGAGAGAAAGAGAGTGAGAGAGAGAGAGAGAGAGAGAGAGAGAGAGAGAGCGAGCGAGCGAGAGGGAGTGCGAGAGAAAGAGAGTGAGAGAGAGAGTGCGAGAGAAAGAGAGTTGGAGAGAGCGAGCGAGAGAAAGAGAGTGAGAGAGAGCGAGCGAGCGAGAGGGAGTGCGAGAGAAAGAGAGTGAGAGAGAGCGATGAAGAGAGAGAGAAAGCGAGATAGACGCAGACGTCAATAGGCGCCCGTGTAGCCGTTGCCTGAAAGTGGGCTTTCAAGGGACTAGCAAGCCAACAAATTGTCTCATACCTCAATTTTCAGGCGCGGGTCTCGGCCTCATCTACCGAAGCACATTCCCGAAGCTGAGCTTTGATTGGCTGGATACATTGATATCTCGTCTCCTCTGGTCTGGCCTCTCAACCCTGCCAATTGCTGCAACGTCCGCCGTTTTTCCGACCCTCTACAAAAAATCATTGCTGACCAATCATCTCCATGACTTGTCGTGTGCCCTATTCGCAAACCTTGTCGTGATTTATGTGGTTAGTGTGGCCTTTGTCTTCATTGGTGCTTCTGTCACTGATACGCTCTACCCCTTCATGCCATTCTTTTGGTTCCAATTCAGTTTTGGCGCGTATTGGCTGAGTTTCGGGATTGTGATGCTGGCCTATTGGCCACTCCCTAATTCCATCTGGGTCGCATCCTCACTTCCCATGTGAATATCGTTTTTTTTGTAATTCAACTTGATAAAACTTTAATTCTAACTTAATTTAACTCTTTAATTTGATAAAGCTAATAAATTTTAATTCTTTCGCACGCGTCCTAGCACCTAATTTTTGAAGTGTTTTGCGACACTTTTTGATCTTAAGTACCCTTCAGACCATGTTCGACACACTCGATTCGAAAAAGCAGGCTAAAAAATGGGGCAAAAATCCGTTTTTTGTCTATTTTTGAGGGGTTTTCTACCTTGGATTACGAAAAAAGCTAAAAAAGCGCAAAAACCAATTATTGCCCGTGGTTTAGGGTTTCCTTTTCCGGCGGCATCGCGAAGCTATTGTTGAAAAACCAAGGTCTTTTTGGGTTGTTGGCCATTTGTAATGTCAATTACAGTGGTTTTCCGAAAGGTTTATTCTCATCAATTGACACCCATATTTATCACAGATAATTCAACGCATATTGACATGAATTAATGTTGAATCTTGCTGTCGATTTAGGCATCATCGTCGGCAATTTGGCGCCCTTGCTGATCAGGTCCAGCAGTGAGCAGTTGCGGCACCGCGGTTTGGCGATGGTTTGGGCCCTCCACAGCATAGTTCCGAGGCCTGAAATGAAAGTTGCTAAGTAAGGCTTAGGACCCGTCATTAGTCGAAAATGGCAAATATACCCACGTTTAATATCCTCGGCTGGATGGCGAACTCGTCGAGCAAGCCGAAAAGTTGCCCGTACTTCGTCGTGCGATCCGTGTTCTGACGGCCTTCGTTCTCCACGGCCAGCCTGAGTTCGTGGCTCTAAAATGAACGGTTGGTCTCCACCTTTCTCTCTCTCTCTCTCTCTCTCTCTCTCTCTCTCTCTCTCTCATGGTAAGTATTCAACTGATCCCCTACCGTCTCCCAATAGACGTTGCCACGCGCTGAAATTCCGTTTCAGCGTCGAGCACTTTCGCCTTGAGCTGCGGGATCTTCTTCGTGTCAAGGGCATTGACTTTCTGAAAACTGACATGTGTTATAAAATTGCCGACAGATGCAAAAAATAGCCCAAATATTAAAACATATTAAATTTCTACATTTAATGTTTTCGAACATATTAAAACCTGAATTAAAAAACGGTTTTCAAGGGTACACGAACGGAGTTTAGGATCGGTCCTTAAGTAAAACGCTTACTTTTGACAACTCTTCGAACGTGAGCGCGATGTACTTGCGCCCGATCTTCTCGTTGGCTGCCCTGATCCGGGCCAGCATCGTCGCACCAACGGCCCGCGGCGCGATAGCCCTTTCAGCGGGAGGAGCCTGAAAAAAGTAAGTTAAAAAGTGAAAGTAACTCGTTCAGGCGGGGCAAATTCCGCGGAGCTGTCCCCACCACGGAGTATGGCAGAGGTGCTGGCAGGTGTAGCCGGGGGCCAACCGCTCGAAATCCTCGGCGCGCCAGTGGGCGACCAGCTGCGCGTCGCGCTGGTGGGTCACGGTGTTCAAGGTGCGCCGAAGAACGCGAGCCACGTAGAGCTGAAATTGACTCGTTCGAGATACAAACGTATGGTCGGCATAGGCGGGCCTAATTCCCTATTTTTGATCTATCTAACGAAGCTCCGATGGTTAACCTCAAGGCTCAGCTCCTCCTGCGCCGATTTCATCTTCGTCTCGGCGACTTCCAATTCTTGCAGCTGCATCTCCTCATCCCGAATCAGGGTCGCTGTGGTCTAAAACAGGGCGTTTTGAAGGAAAATGCTGAATTGTTACTAGAGCCAAGCCGAATCTGGGTCTGAGCTTACTTTCTTGTCGGACTTCGTCGGCTCATTCGCCATCATCTCGATGAAAGTAAGAAGAGATGAAAAATCCGATGAAGTTGAACACAAATAATCTGTAGGTTTTCAATCGGGTTGGGATGGCATCGTCTTATTCGGGACTTCGCATGCTGATTCCGTACCCAATTTGGTAGCCCTGGGACGGAATGAATGTTATAATGGTAGAGGATGCAAATAGCGTATACTCGTTTAAGCCCCATTAGTTCAATAACTACAGGGTGTCCCAAAAAGACCCCCTTCCGCGGTCCGTAGTCATGCCCGTACTATACGCTTTAGGTATCTATTCGTATTGCTTGTCGCACACCACAAATGTGCATAAGGATTTACTCCACGTATGTTCACAGGGTATCGGTGCATTAATCACAGAGAAACGAGGAATCACAGGCAATCAAGCAAAAGTGGGTAAAAAGCAAAGTGAAAAAATGACTAGCTTAACGCGGTGATTGACCAGTGATGAAAGAGGCCAGCACGGATGCGATCTTCTCGGCCACCTCGGCGGTATGTGCTTCTACGTAGACGCGGACAATGTTCTCGGTCCCCGATGGCCTGCAAAAATAGGCATCACGGCACAATCTACAAACACACCTGACAAAAGCGCGAATGGCTCCGTGCTCTTTCACGGTGGCATCGATGGTGTTTTGTAAGGCGATCGGTGTGAGTAGTCGCGTCTCGTCCCAAGTAGTGCTGTAGATTGAACGGTCCAACACCTGAAATGGAAACGATATATTGTAAGCACAATACCTCCGAGGGGTCCAATTAATAAATTCTCGAAAATCATACCGGAACTTTCTTCTGCACATTTGGCGCGTCCTTGTAGAGGTCTTGGTCCCAGTCAACGACGTTCCACCCATAGTACATCAACAGCAGCTCGACGGCCAACAGGTCAGCCAGCGCATCTCCGACAATCTCGTTGACCACCCGCGAGAAATATCGCAGGCGGGCTGTCGCCACGTTCTCGTCCTTTCGCCTAAAAAGCAACGATTTCTACTTTATGCAAAAAAATGACGAGTCAGAGCAGCCAACAGATTAACGGAAATTTTTTGAAATGCCGCTCCAAAATCAATCCGTTAGCCTTTGAAAAGTCTTGCCGTCCGCGACCAGGCTATCAAAACCAAACGCACTCCTTGACGGTCTCCTTGAATTTGTCCGAGAAGCAGACAGTCCCATGGCCATTGGCTTCAAAGTAGACGCCGATGTCGTACTTGACCGCCTCGTGATGCAGATGTTTCACACCGGTTGGCACGAAAACGGGGGTGACACCCTAAATAGCAAAATCCGACAAAACTCCGTTTTCCTACCAAAACGTCCCGGATGTAGGCGGTAGATGCTCCGTTTGCGTACGCCGTCTGCACGACCCCGACGGTCAGCTGTCCAAAAAGCCCGGCTTCGCGTAATTGCTAAAAAAACAATCAGAAGTGTAAAGTGGAAAACCTCGATCAAAAATCTCGAGAAAAGTGTCGCAATCTTGTCGCCATCCAGCAATGTAACACCAATCTCGCTGGCATCGAGACGCTGGCTGAAAAGATACTATTATGCTAAATTCATAGCCAACAGTTTTTTGGTCAATATTATGAGCCGGTTTCTAACTACATTAAAACAGCAGCGACCACACCTGTCGCTTGCTCTGAAATAAATCAGGCGATCGGCGTCGCCGTCCAGCGATGCACAGCGCACGTCCGGAGCCACATCGCCAAAAGCTCGTGGCAGCAGCTTCGAAATTTTGACAAAATCGGCGCCGCACTAAAAACCTTTTAGCAAACTGAAGGCAAATTTACCTCATGGTTTAATTCGCCCTTCTCGTTCAGAAATTCCACGCTGAGGTCCGGGTCGTTAATTGCAGCGAAGAGTTCCCGGGCCTTCGGGGCACCCATGCCGTTGGCACAGTCGAGTTTGAGGATCGATGGTTTGGCCTTAGGTATCAACTAAAACCGTAAGCTGATCGGAGCAAATAAGAAAATAACCTCTTTCAGTTGATAATAAGCTTCCTTGAAACGGCGTTCATATCCACCGGGCCCGGCTGGACCATAATCAGGGTCGTTGGCGACGCGGACGGCATAATGGAGCTGCGGCGTGGTAAGTTGGTCTAAAAACATTTTTGCGGAGGAGAGCAAAAATATACCTAAGAATTCGTAATCCACATCCAACAACGAGACGCCAGAAGCGACGCAAGAGGCAAGGTGGATCCCAGAGGGACGCGTGTCCACCGCACATACTACCGCCGCCTTTTCTTGACGCTCACTTGGAGCCAGTGCCTTGAGTTCTTCCATTTTCGCGAGAAGCGCCTCGTCAGAGGTGTTAGCGAGATCCGTGGCATATACCTGAAACGGCTTGTGTGAAAAACAGGATCACTTCGGAATGTTATTTTGTGTTTTAGGCAGAAGTGACAAAGAAGAATGAATGAAACTACCTCCCAAGCTACTTCCATCATCTCGCCCAGAGGATCCACGATTTTGACGCCATTGTCGCAGGCAGGGTTATGTGAGGCCGTGATCATCACACCAACAGTCTTGTTGAATTTCCTAAAATGGAATAAAAAACTCAAGCCGAACAAACTTTGCACGTAGCGCAGCCAAGAATCCGACTCGGAACATGACGAAAGGCAGCGTCTCGGCCCGATCACGAAATCCGGCGGTACCATAGGCAATCCTGAAGAAAATTTTTTAAAAGGGACCATGGGGCTTACTTGAAGGCAGGGTTGACGACACGGTCGATGCCATCGTGGTCCACATTCCGAGTCCGGGAGTAGCGAGGATCGATGGTCATTTCGCAGCACCTGTAAATCTTGCAATTACATGCAGTACAGCAAAAACTAGTAATTTTTGGCAGAAATCTGCGTGTAGACAGCCGCCTGTCAGCTGGAAACACGCCATGAAAACCGAGGGATCAGTTCGTACAGCTCGCCTCTCCCCAAAGCCGTGGCAAAAGCGATAAGCATTTCGGCGTATAGTAAAGCCAGAAAAGATAACAAAACGATTCGATGCCAATGATATATTAAAGCCCTCGACCCTTTGCAATTAACGATAGTGCTGCGCATTTGAACCGTTTTGTTTCACAACGCCCGGAGTCTGGAAGTATGTTTTATCGACGATCAAGGATGAAAGCGAATTTGGACATCTGGATAAGAAAATATGGTCAATTCACAAGAAACAACAGCGGGAGAAATCACAACAGTAACACCAATGCGGGAGGATAAATTGGTGAATAGGTCAGCAAAGTGAAAACTATGAGAACAAATGAGGTGAGCACAAATACAAATTGGGACAATGGTAAACCCCTTGTTCGAGCTTTATTGGCGGCGGTGGAAGGCTTCGATTTCTTCGAAAATCAGCTGCTTCAATTCCTCCTTCGGCATTTCATCGAAACCCATCTCGTCCCCGAACGGAATATCGCAAGTTGGCTGCAAAAAAAAATGTGTTACCATAAGAATAGCGATCAAACCTCATCGTCTGGGTCATTGTAACGGGCGAGGTATGGGTGCATGAGGGCCGACTCCACATCGAAGCGCTTGTTGGGGTTGAAGGCGAGCAACTAAAAGAAAATCTAATATCTTTTGCACAAACACATACATTTTCTAACAAATCGAGAGCCGAGTCTTCTGCAGATGGAAATACGTGACGCCAGGGCTGCTTCGGCTTGAATGGTAATGCCATCAGATATGAGCGGGCTTTGTCGTTCGTGATGTATGCCAAATCTTCGCGAGATGGCGACCCAAGCACGTCAAGGATGAGAGTCAGTTGGTCCAGGTAGTGTTTGCCGGGGAACCTAAAACCAAATCAGAGCACAAAGTCATTTACTTACAGAGGACGGTTCCCGAGCATTTCGGCCAGAATGCAACCAACACTCCATACATCGATAGCCTTTGTGTAGCCCTTAGAATTCAGCATGATCTCCGGAGCGCGGTACCAACTAAAAAATGTCAAAAAGAAATGAATAATTACCGGGTTGCCACATATTCTGTTAAAAAGCCGCACAAGTTTGAGGTCGGGTCTGCGACACGAGCAAGGCCAAAGTCGCATATCTTGAGATCGCATGTTGTGTTGAGCAAGAGATTTGAGGGCTTCAGGTCGCGATGGATGACATTTGCAGAGTGTATATACCTAAGAAAGGAAATATGATAAACGCAAACTTTCACGTACTTCAAGCCACGCAGAATTTGGTAGGTGAAGTAGCAGATATGCTCGCGACTGAGGGCTTGTGACTTGAGAAGTTTGTAGAGGTCGGTCTCCATCAGCGATTGCACAATGTATCTGAAGAAAAATACAGTCTTGCGAAAAGCCGAGCCTCACATGTCCTTCATCTCGTTGATGTTGGCGGCTCTGATGATCTCTTGAATGTTGATCACCTAAACAACTTTGCAAAAAGGCTAACATTAAACTTACGTTTTCATGGTTGAAGTGGCAAAGGATCTTGATCTCGCGCAGCGTCCTTTGGCAGAACGTCTGATGGCCGAATGGTGACATCTTTTTGATTGCCACGCTGCGCTGGGTGATCGCATCGGTCGCCGAGCTGAAAAAAAGGAAATAATAAAGGACAAGCAAGAATCCCTTACACGACCATGCCATACGCGCCCTCGCCGATGTACTTCAAGGTGTGGTAGCGTGGGCCAACTTCAAAGTTTTGTCCACGCACCTCTTCAACCTTGGGGGCCGGGGGCGCAAGCCCTTGCGATCTCGTTCCTAAGTTGCAGATGCTATAAAGGTTCGAAAAATTACTTGGCATTGAACGGTGGGCTTGCCGAGATTGGTTGTAGCGCTCGATGTCGTGGGGGATCTTGTAGTACTCCCTGGGGAGGTAGGACATCTGAAAAAAAAACGAATTGAAAAAGAGAGTGAGAATGAGGAGCCGTAAACGTAAAGCGTCCAAGAAGGAAAAGGGAAATCGTGTTTACCGTCTGCAAGGGTGACCAAAACTTCTCGAGAGGATAACACTATTAAAAAGTCAAGTTTTTGAGAGTCCACGGAGCGTCGAAATGTGATTGAGCCTATTTGGTGCAGAACCTTTCGCTGTTTAAAAGCTACCTTTCCAAATCTGCGACACAGCTATAATTCAAAAGTTACGAAGCTTTAAAGTGCAAAAAAAGCGCAAAATGGCTCGCGCTCGCGGTCCTTAGCCCTTTAGGGCATCATAACTGTCTTTAATCGGTCGTTTCGCAGATCCTGAAAGCGAGAAGCAGCGCAAAATTCTGCAGAAAATCGGCTTGGTGCAATGGCGAAACTTCGTGGACACTAAAAAACTCCTTGTAAGACCGTAAAAACAAAAGAAGAAGTACAACCACTAACGGCAACAAATAATAAAATAAAAAATGCGAATTAGTAGGAAAAAGTTATCGGCGCTCCGTACATTGGAGCGGCGCGTTGCAATTCCGTATTTTGGAATGGCTTGTAGGGTGCTCAATTTTGCCGGAAAATCATCTTATTAAATTTTTAGCATCTTTCCCGCTATCTAACGCCGTGTTTGTCGAAATATTTCATTTTTCTTTTGCGTGTTCCCCTTTATATATTCGATTTAAGTTTTTTATTTAGGTATTACGATAAGTGGGATGAACTGGCGAAAAATCTGTAAGGATTCCCGATTGTTCCACCCATTTTTTGTCGTTTAGTCTGTCTGACGGCCCGTCAGAATTCCAAAGGCGGCAACTCTACTGCTGACCGCTCGTGCCCGATGGAAACGGCTCGCAAAGCTAGCCACAGCGCCGTCCCAGTGGTCCTCTACAACGCCAAAGGTGTAACGTTACCTCCGAAGTCTCCGGCTGAATGTCATGAAGGTAAACCCCGTTTCGTTTTATCCACCTCATTCTTGTTAGAAGCCGTTTCGATAAGCCCCTCGCATACGCCGGTGCTGCTCTCACCAGAAGTCGATCGTCGGCGTCAAGCTGTATACCCAAGAGGGCATTCGACCCCGCTGATGCGCAGCTTTGTCCATTTAGCAAAGGTTTGGTTGATCACGTATGCCCAAATTTCTTTTTAGATTGATGAATCGACGATCTGCTTGCCCTGTGGAACCCACCCGGAACAACACAACGAATCGACGTTCGACCTTTCTGCAGCTATCGAACGGGCCGCGAAAAAGATCCGGGAAAACAGCTCGGCGCGCGGATCGGAGAAGAGCGATGCGACTGCGCCGCCAAACTCGCCAAGCGATTGCTATACAGGTAGTAATTCCGCGTACCTTGCTTGCTGGACCAAGAATAGAAAGTTCGGGGGCGCGATTTCCGAAACTACGCCCGGCCAAATCTCGGGAGTCGGGAGTCACGTTTTCAGGGGCAAATCCCTTCGTTATTTTTTGTGCTTGAGAAATTAGCAATACGTGGCTAGATGTTGATGCGCCAATTAAAGTGCTAATGAAAAAGAATCGAGTGCCACCGGATTGCGAAATAGTTCTTTTCGCTTTCGAACATGCTTATGATAAGTTGCGTTTTAGATACCGATACGCTGAGTGCTTCCCACAGCCCTGCATTGCACTCCCCTGATGCTAGCCACCGCCGTTCTGTCCCTAACGGCCACTCGACGCCATTGAGAAATAGCTATGTGCATTTGCCAAAGGTTTGATCTTTGGAATCTTCTTATTTATCTGCTCAGATCGATGAGTCGGCAATCTGCGCTTCTTCGACCAACCGTGACCGTCTCGAACACCACGACGTGTCCTTCGACCTTTCCTCGGCAATTGACCAAGCCGCCAACAAGATCCGAGATGAGAGCCGCCCGGAATACTATCATGTGTTTTGATTTTATAGTGAGTAATCTGTGCATGTCCTGTCATTTTGTGCAAGTTGTATGATATAAAGAACTAATTCCGGCTAATCCTTGTGTCTGAAATATAGTTGAATGCATCGAATATCGCGCAAGAACACGTGGCAGATCCCGAAAGAATAGGCCCATATTAGGTTGCACCATGACCGCTTTTATGGCCCAAATGCTCGACGAGTTGATGGGCACCGGCCGTAATTCAGTCGATGGCGCGTCGAAAGTGTCTTTTGAAAACCCAGAGGTACAAATTTCTTTCGTTGCTTCTGACTTGGATATTTTAGGTCTGCAAATTCGCGTTGGCCGGTTTCTGTCCCCGGGAAGCGTTCCGCAACACAAAGATGGACTTTGGGCAATGCGCTCAGGTGGATAGGATTTTCCTGCTTCGAAATCTGCGGTTCTAGCGCCACGACGAATGTTTCAAAGAAGAATATAAACGCAGCTCGCGCTTTGGCAAACTTGGCTACGAGGAGCTGTTTATGAGACGGTAACCATCTTGTGGCACTCATTTCGTTCTTAGTATTCGCGAAATCAATCGAGAGATTCAACGAAAAATCGACAAGAACACCGATCGTCTTAACTGTAATGGTTTCTACGTTTTAGTGTATTTGCTTTTTAGCTGGCTGCTTGCCGGGCGTGGAAGGAGTAACGACGGTACGAAATTTCGCGCTATTCACACGTATTTTAGAAGTATGACGAACAATTGGCCAATCTGACTCGCCAGATCGATGAAAATATGAATGTAGGAGGGAGGCTGGAAGCAATTAATGTTTTTGTAGAAAGGACAACTGATGTGTGAAGCCGGCCAAGTCACCGAGGGACAAGAATTACTCAAGGAGGCCGAGGAACTTCAGGTAGAAGCTGCTGGGAATGGTTATAATCTAGGTTGTTTAGTGTTTTGCGGCAGGGACCCGGTTTTTTGCTTAGGATCCAGTTTTTCTGTCAGAAATGGAGCAAGGGTGTTTGCTAGAGTCTTTTACTACTCGTACCTTAAGCTACTGAAAAGGGTCTAAAGGAAACGCCGGAAATACCAAAGAACCCTGCTCTTCCAGGCCGTTCGCGAAGAACTCGAGCAGAAGCGCATCGTCAGCATTCGCCACGTGGCTGGAATCGCCATGGATCTGTCGAGGCCAATGCACGTTTGCGCGGTGAGAATTTACTTTTATGCCTAATTTTGAAGATTTATAGGAATGCGGGTGCTTCATGTTGACCACCGATGCGCAATGCCGAATCGACGATCATCTGGCGGGAAAACTCCACACAACCTGCGCGCGAATTCGTCAGATCTTGAAGGAGGAGCGCGAGAAGCAGGAAAATGTTGATTCGGATAAGGATGGCGACGAGGTAATCTTTTGCGCGGTTGTTTTTGCACATCTGTGAGAATGGAGAAAACTAGGGATTGCATCTATTAGGGATCTGATTCGTTCGCGGATTTGTTTTCTTCGCTGAGTGGCGTTTGGAAATTCAACGCATTTCGACGACACTACGCCCTTTTTAGCTCTAACTAATTTTGAAAATATGAATTTTGCGTTAAAACCTTCATTTTGGTCAAAAATGTATGAGAAATAACGCAGTGTTTATGTAGCTATGAACAAGTTTTGTTGCGGCAATGCTTTTTTTTTTACTAAAGCCGTGTTTTAGGGCCGCCGTGGCAATCGAGACTCCGGCCGTCGACATGACCGCAGGCGCCAGCACTCGAAAAGTCGCAGCCCGAGGCGCAGCTGCAGCCGTTCCCCACGCCGTCGGTACGAATGACTTTTTGCATATATACCAGACTTTTATATTTAGCGGCGATGAGCGTGACCGACGCGACCGCTATGCTCGTGATGCCCGCGGCTCTCGGCGCTACTAACCGTTCTCGCCTGTTGCACAAATTGCTTCGTTGATCAGCTAATTGTTTCCCTTTGGCTTGCCATTTCTCTCGCATAATCCCATAGTTTTAGTTCACAATTTCGGTGTTATTAAAGTTCTCGTTTCGATAAATACTCATTTGGAAGTTGTGTGCCGTTTGAACCGGGTATTGTTACCAGTTGTATACTTTCTGGAGCGATTAGGAGTATTTCGGGCGCTGGTGATCAGTTGAGCAACACCTTTTTCCGCGTTTGCGAAAAATTATTTGTAACGCGTAAATTACGTTTGTAAGAAATCACTTTTTCTCAAAAGTCGCTTTCTCCCAATTGCTCAGCTGCCATGGCCCCATTTGCTTTAGCTTTCGGAGCATTAATTATATTCAGATGCGCCCCAAATTCGTGCCCGGTCGGAACCGCGCCGGGCCCGTCATCGCTAGCCACCCACCTTCCGTTCAAATCGTGCAGGTCGCCGAATGCGTTGCTGGCAATGTAGAGGTAGGCTTCCGCTCTTTTGCAAATACTTTTTCAGCCCCTGACACCGCTTATCTTGCCACTGCAAGTAGCTGCAGAGCCGCCCCTCATTCTGCCTACCGCCTTCCCGAGCACTGCTGATGCTCAAGTGATGCCGATCCAGATTGCGTGTGAAGATCGTGAGAACCGGCGGACGGCTACGGATCCATTTTTATGCTGGGGATCGAATGTATTCACGAACAACAACGTGCAGGAGGCTTCTTTCGTCAAAACGACTTTTCCGGAGGAATCATGCCGAAACTGCGCAGATCCGGCACCGTCTGACTTCATCGACTACACTCAAGCGCCGCAGCCACCTATCGCTGATGCGCTTTTTTCGGAAGAACTCCTGGCGATGGCATGTGGACAACGGCCCACGAGCTCGTTCACACCTTTTCCGGTACTGTTTTGTTTTGCCGGGCGAAAATTTTGTAGTGGACTGTTAGCGGGGGGAGTCAATTTTCCTCATTAATACCGTCGGTCCTGTACGAAAAAAGAATTATTGTTATAGAATTTTCCATAGGTTCAGACCTGAAAAGCACATGAAGATTGTCGCTATTTTGCTCAATTATGTGACCGATAACGTGAAATTTTCAAATGATTTCCAAGCACTGGAAAACTACTACGAGGACGGCAAAATTACTGCATTTTTATGATAGTAGGGCTGTATAGGCGATAATAAAAATCAACTCCAACCGCTAATAAGTTTCTTCCCGCTAGGAGTCCTACCTTTATCCCAGAATTTCAGCGTGTGCAAGGGCCGTTGATCGAGATGAGGTCGTTTTCGGGAGAGCCACTGCCTGCATCCACCGTTTCCGTGCCAATGTTTTTCGGAGCCGATGATGATTCGCGAGAAATATTCTTTGATGCCGAGTGCCCCGAAGATTCGCTTGCCACATCATGCGACGAGCCGTGCGCCAGCGTGGTGCCGTTTGCGGAAGAGCCACCGGTTCCGGCTTGCCAAGCTTTGCTCCCCTACGTGCCACTCCCAAGCCGAGCCGATCTTCATTTTGCCACGGTAGCTGCCGGCCCGATCTATTTTGATGCGCACGCTCATTTGGACCTATTCAACAGGTGATTTGGTTCTTTACTATTATCGGGGAGCTAAATTTTTCTTTTTGATAAAATTTGCAAATAATCGAGATAGGTGGTGGTTGTTCTGTCAAAATGCAAAAAAATACATATAAATCAGCTTTTTCGGCCAAAATTCACGTTTTTTCGAACGAAATTTCTAGTTCTACTAGTTTGGTGATAGTTTGTCCATTTGACAGATAATTGCAAAGGCTTTTAAAATTGGCTACTTCCATTTTTAATTCACTATAATGCTTTTAGCGCTCTACATGGTCGTCGGAAGAAGATGAAGTTCGCGTCGGTGGCCCAGCTGGACCAAATGTTCAAGCGGTTTGTACTTGATCTAATCTATCTTTACTGTTTTTTTTCAGGATTCCCCCAAACTTCGGCGGCCTGTTTTGGAATCTGGTGATGCCCTCGTATATCGTACCACGCTGGCGATGGGTGCTCGACTTGTTGAAGGTGTGCGGCGGTTCATTTGTGAGAAATTTTTGTTTAGGATCGCAAAGTTATCGGTACGACGGTGGGAATACACCCGAGAAGCGCGGATCAGCTCGACAGGTACAATAAATTTTTGGTTTTTTTAGTAAGTGGACTCTTAGCGGGGGCTTAGGTTTAACGTCTACCGTCGGCCTCCATATTGAAACAATACACTTTTGTGACTAATTGCTTTATATGAAGAATTTCGCATTTTTTTATATCTTATCAATAATGTATGAATTTTTATCAACAGCGGCTAAACTAAATGCACTATTAAAAAAGCTATAGAACTTTCATAGCTCTAGCTAGGTTTATATAGCTATCTAGCTAACCCCCCCTAACAGTCCGGTACCCCATCTTCTTTATCCATCCAACCGCTTAATTTTCAGAAAATACGATATGGGCCAGCACGTCGTAACGATGCGCCAATTTATCCAGATGCTGCTCAACGACAAGAAGCGGTACAAGGTGTGCGCGATTGGAGAATGTGGCCTCGATACCAAGTAAGACCATGAATTTAGCTTTTATGCTTTTAAGGCCCGCCCCAACAACGGTGCCCCTTGACAAGCAGATGGAGGTTTTCATTTGGCATCTGCAACTCGCCAAGGAGCACGGCCTCCCCGTGGTGTTGCACTGTCGCACGCTGGAGAACAACGAGGATTTGATGATCCGGACGATCACGACGGTAACGATTATCATTAGTGCTGAATTTTCCAATTTAGTATCTAGGCGGCGCCTATCCGGTATATCTGCACTGCGCCCCGCGAAAGCCGAGAATGATCAAAGCGTGGATGGAGAAAATATCCGGTTGCTTATTTGGTGGGTGGCATTTTGGCTTTTTTACCTGGATTTTTTGGGGTACCGGTCTGCTAGCGGGGGAGGTTAATATCTAACCTGTTTCATCTACCTAGCGAACATTTTAAGTCTATTAGTTAGTTTTAATTTTATTTTTTGTCTACCTTTTTAATGGTTTTTTTTGGTATGAAAAGCCATAAAAACATTTTTTAGAACTACAATGTTTTGGCTGTTTTCATGCATTAAAAAAATTTTGAAGAGCGAACTTAAAAACTTGTAAAAACTTTAAATATACATAAAAACAAAGTAGACAATTCGTAGATGGAGAGTATTTCATTACCCCCCCGCTAACCGTTCAGTACCAGCTATTTGTTTAGGAATTGGGCCCTGTTTCCTGGAGGATACGCTTGAGGCTCGGGATGTGATCAAGATGATCCCGCTTTCGCGGATGTTGGTCGAGACGGACGCTCCATTCTTCCAGGCTCTTACGGTAATTATTTCCGCGTTTTTTTAAAGGGGCACCGAAATCTGGTCCACAGCCCCCTGCTGTGATTCCTGGCAAATAGCCAGATTCGGCCGCAACGCGACCGCGCCGCATGATCTTTTGCCCCTGTTTGGACGCGAAAACGACTGAATCCTTAACAAATTTTGATCATTCCAGACCATTAAATTATGGAAATTGACCAGAGAATCACCGAGCTCGAGAGGTTGGGGCATTACAAGGCATCACGACATTTCATCGCCGCCCACTCAAATCAGCGACTCAAAATTCGTTTCCGCCCCAAAAAGAATTCGTATTATCTCAAACATTTGACGTTTTTACGCAATAAAATCACTTTTCTAGCACGTCTCGGCAGGGACCCTTTCGTTTTTTGGCACGTAGGTTCAATCCCCGCCCGCACGAATTTCGAATTACATGGTTTAAAAACTTTTATGGCTTTTTGTTACATCTTGTGATCGAGGTCAAGGCTAAAAAAAGGGTGAAATTTGCAAGGTGCTAGGTTAGATATTCCCCCGGCTAACAGCCAAGTACCAAATGTTATTTTAGGGAAGCGTCTACGAGTTGACGGATGCCGGCCGGCGTCAGCTTTCCGGTACAGCAACCCATCCAGCCGCGTGTGCCCTTCTCAACGAATATGTGGCCAAAATCAAGGGATTGACATACGCACAGGTGATTTTGATTCTGAAATTTTTCATAAAGTTTTTTTCTGTTTAGGTTGCTTATGCTACACGGACGGCCACGCTACGTTTCTACAACCTGGACGCGGACTATCAGCATCTAATCGAAGAACAAAGATATCTGTGAATTTTAAATCTTTGGGCGATTTTCTGGTCTTTTGCTGATATTGAATTGTTGTTTTTTTTGCGCGACTAAAGCCTAGATGTTTTCTGTTTGTTTGACTCGTTTTTACTTTTTTTTTGTTGGATGTTTTTGATAAAAAACTTTTCTAGAATCGATCGTTTGCAATCAACTGAACAGTTTTGCTGCATCCTCCGTTCATTTTCAGTTGTCGCTAGAAAATCTGTAGTTGTCCTTGGCGTGGGAGTTGAAGAGGGGGATTGGTGGTTCTTTGAACGCTCTTTGCGTCGCGAGAGTGGTGTATTTGGTCAACACTGGAACCAGATCGAAATTTGCGGGAAATCGGTAAACCGCGCGTCGTTTTGTACTTTTCAATGTTGTTCTGAAAATAGATTTTGGTATTTTCGCAATATCAGTGGGCAGCATTTTTTTATGCGGTACGAAATGTGTAGTAGCGTATGAGTAAGTGTTTTAGTAGTTTTTTAGTAAGTAAGAAAATTAAATGGACAACAACAAAACTGCCAAAATTTTTCATTGAAATTTTTGTCGAAAAATCTGTATTTTTCGTATTCTTAATCCAAATTTGTAATTTTTACGTTTAGGTATAGCAAAATAGTTTAGAACACTTCCTATTTATTGAGAGAAGTTGGATCCTAAGCAAAAATTCTCCTAGATAATCCAAAAGAATTTTTATATTTTAAAAGGTTTTCGAATTTTTAAAGCCGGTCCCTTTAGAAATTCTCTAGTTGAGGGGCGGCATCCCCCAATGACCGGGAAACAACAATGATCTTTGACTAACAAGTTGGTCATGTTCAATTTTTTATTCTTTTCTGGCGCATCGACACATCGCAATCAAACTTTCCCATGCTCAATCGAAAATTTTTCGGCTTTTTGAAGTTTGGCCGGATTCTGGCAGCGTTCGGGGCCTCTGATCGGCCAGCTGTCCGCCCAGGAAAATGCGCTCGCCTCCCTTTTCAGTCGCCTTTCAGGGCGGAGATTATTTTTTTATGCGGCTCCAGCCGACCGGGGCTCACAGATCAAATAGCCAGCCTGCTCTCTCTCTCTCTCTCTCTCTCTCTCTCTCTCTCTCTCTCTCTCTCTCTCTCTCTCTCTCTCTCTCTCTCTCTCTCTCTCTCTCGTGTGTCTCGTGGCACCCATTTTGACATGGAACTCTTGCTTTTCCCGGCCCGCCCCGATCACAGCAACAAACTAAATTTTAGCCGGGTTTTTTTGCGTTCCTGATTGTTGGTCAGGCTTTTTCAAAGGCCTGTTAATACCTTTTTAAGGTAGTTTTATGTTCTTCGCTTTTTATTTTACCTTCGTCGTTTAGTTTAGCGTATTTCTTTAGAAAATAGCAGGTTTACGAAGTTTTTTTTTCAAGTTTACACGCTTTTAATCTCGACAAAGAAATATTTTAGTCGGGAATTTTTGGTTTCTGGTTTTTCGTCAGGCTCTTTCAAAAGCCTGCTAATCAGTTTTTAAGCTTATTTTATAGTTATCTTAACATATCCTTAAAAATTTTAAATTCTATTACGACCAAATAATATAAATTTAAAAGTTTGGAGTACCCGTTGAACCTTTAACGTTTAATTTTCGCACATTTTCGAGTTTTTGGTCAAATTTTTTTTATATCTACTGGACATCAAAACCTATTAAACCCCTTATAAAAATAATGACAAATAAAAACCTATCTGAATGCCAATGAAACCCCTCGAATTTTTTAAAACGCTCTACTGCTTTGTAATTTTACTTGCTGCGAGCACGTTGAAAATTATAAAGTTACTCCTTTTCCCTGGCCAACTGGTAGAATAACATAGAAATTTCATGGTTTTGCTAGCTAACTTGAATATCTCCGCCTACCATCTTAGGGCCTTTGAATTTTACGTAATTCCGGGAACTTCTAAACTGGAAAAATCCCAGGTATTGTTTCAGCTTTTACATTTTCCGCGTGCTAGGTGGGATCAGATATAATCGCCCCGTATTCGTATTTTTAGGCGATGAAGCTGGCGTCGGTTCAGCGGCAGCTCGCCAAGGCCGCGCGCACCACCATCGCAAAGTACGTTGTTGGCGTTTTTAAAAACTCGGGTTTTCTTTTTGATAATTTCTGTTTTTAGGATGCCAAAGCCGCGGCCCAGCTATGTGCACGGGGCTTCCGATATTCCGCTGTTGCACGATGTAGGTTTTAAAATTGCTTTAAAAATGAATGATCGTCGTCGCGGCAAGTGGACGCGTGCGGTCGCGTTGCGTGTCGCGTTTTCGCAGCACAATGGTGTTTGCTATCGTTTTACATCGGTACGCAACGCGCCCGCACACGTCGACATCGTCCGTAAATTTCTAGCAACGTGATATTTAGGATTTTAATAGTGTTTTTAGTCAAATTGAACCGAGTTTCGAGCGAAAATCTATCTATTAAAGTTTTAAAAGTCACAAAAATCGAAGTTTTGGTCGAAATTTGGCCATCTTTGCCGAAAATCAATATTTTTAAAGCAAAATTGAATTAGAACATTTGAAAAATTCGAATTTTGACGAAAAATCTGGGCTTTTATGTTTTTGATAAGGATCTGCAAGGGTAACCGTACGTTTAGGAGTTTTAAAAGACGAAAGAACCGACAAAAAATATCCTTGTATTCAGACGATGGGCGACCGTCTTCTCCAGGCCGTCGAGCAGGTGCCATCCAAAGAGTTCGTCTACTTTCGCCACCAACAAATCCGCCGCACCTACGAGCAGTTCTACCATGATGTGAGCGATTTTAAAGGGGCGGTGACAGCTGCACCCAGACCATTTTTCAACCCAACTTTTCAGGTCCGCCAACTGGCCCGCGGGTTCATCCGTCTGGGGCTTCAGCCTGGCGACCGGGTCGGCATGTGGGGGCCGAACTACTACGAATGGCTGTGCACACAGTATGCCGCTGCACTGGCCGGCCTCATTCAGGTGGGTTACGTTAGATGGAGCGCGTGATTTAGCCGGCAAAATTGGCTCGAAATTTCCTGAATAATCTCGGCTAGCCTGCCCCAAAAATCCATCAATTTTGGATTAGCCATCAAAGTCCAGCCCCCCATTTTTCAAGCCGATTATCGCGTTCGATTCCTTGCAAAATTCGGGCCCTCGATTTTTGCGCTGCGCTCCAAATAGCGAAAACGACAGAGATCAGCTTGGCGAGAGAGAGAAGCGAGAGAGAGACAGAGACAGAGACAGAGAGAGAGCTCTCGAAATTCTTGCTTATCTTTATGGGAAAGTGAAATAGTCTTTTGCCCTGCCATGTGTCTAATCGAATTACCACCATCCGACCAATTTTCCGGAGCAAACCGGCCGTTGATTTTGGCGGTGCTGATCACAAATTGCGGTGTTGGTTTGGTGGAATTGTAAACGAGAAAAATAATAATAAAAAAATACAAGGATTGAAAACATAAATCGAAAACAGCGTCTTTCAGGTGAACGTCAACCCGGCCTACCAGATTGAGGAGCTGAAATACGCGCTCAACAAGGTTTGAAGCATTCTAAAAATTGCTGAACTTTAAAATTCTAAAAACTTCGAAAAAAGTTTTTTTTTGTAGGTGAAATTTTAGCCGAAAAATCGGTACTTTTTTGAAGCAGATTTAAAGTTTCTACGTTTTGACATGGCGAAACAGTTTAGAAACACGTCCTCTGTTTATATTAGAAAAATGGACCTTTCGAAGAAGCGCTGCCCCTCCCCCGATAATGCCAAAGAACCTCGAATTTTCATATAAAAATCATAAAGGTTTTCGCGAATTACTAGGTGTATTCTGTGGTTTCAGGTGGGTGTTCGTGCCCTTGTCACCCCGCGCTCCTTCCGAAAATCCGACTACTACGGCACGCTCGATAAGGTCAGGCTTATGCTGTGGTTTTTGCTCGGTATTTTAATGACTTACATCATGTAGAAGTTGAAAATCTAAGCAGTTTTTTCACCTTTCCTTATAAAGCTTTTCAGAGTTTTGTAGGATGGTGTTTCATTTTCTGGCGTAGAAACGGCAAAAAGACTTTTCAACATTTTGACAAACGGCGAAAGACAATTTCGACATTATGATAGCAAATCGACAAAAGGTACCATAATAAAATTCTGATCCGTGAAAAAGTGATGTTTCGCCAAAATACAATGCCTGTCCGAAGGGATTTCTTCCAATGAAGAGTCGTCGAGGAGTGCTCGAATAGCTACCGTACCCCATTTTTTATTCTAAAAATTGCCCTTTTTGCAGCTGGTCCCGGGCCTCTCATCACAGCCCGAAGGTCAAGGAGCCATCCGTACCACTGAATTGCCCCAACTCGAACATATCATCATCATCAACGAGGCGAAACCTTTGCCGTAAGTCGTGCCATCCTTTTCAGCTGGATTTATTTTATTTAAATACCGAAAAAGTCAACATTCTAACGTCTTTAAAAAATCACGGGAGTTAGAATGAATTAATTTTTAATTTTTACACTTTCGAGTTTCGCATTTTAGCAGTGGAAATGCGTTTGAAAATTCTTTACTTGCAAAGTGTGATTGCTGATGTTGAACGAACCAAGCGCTGCGGAGAATGATTACGGAATCTCGGAAAATTTGGGATTCAAAAAAGTATAGAACATATTTTTCGAAAAAAGAAACCGAGTCAATCGGCTTTAAGCAAAACCCTATCCTGATTATTTGGAACGTACAGTACTATTCCGAAGCGCACAAATTTCACATTTTCGACACAAAAATGACCGATTTTCGACCAAAATTTTTTTATTTTTGAATTGTAATCGCCACAAACTGAATGGTTAATTATGGCAAGGCTAAAATACCAACTTTGCAAAATCAAAAAACATTAAATTTCAAGCCAAAAAGGTGAAGAGGGGGCGAAGGAAATTGAGCAAAGCAGATTCATTTTACCTATTTAAAAGATACCGTAATATTCAAAAGGGAATTCGTATGAATGGACCTTTTTAGTTTGTATTTTTGGCATTTTTTTTATCGTGTTTATTAGAACGAGGAGTGACAGCCGTATTGTGGCAAAATTAAACAACTGAACTAAAAAAAAATCATGGAACATAAATTTTTAAACGAGAAGAAGAAATACAGAATAAATGGAATTGGCGAAACAGATCTATTTTATTTATTTGAGAGGTACCGTAATCTTGGAATGGGGAATAACCGGATGATTTTCACCTGTAATTTGCAAAAAATATAGACGACAAAAACTACACGTAATGTTGGGGCAAGCGTTCACAGGTGTAGGGTGGAATGGATTACTCGTTGTTTTGAGGGGAGTTTTTTTGGCAATAGGAGAAATTTTTGGCGGTTTTAAATCACAGTTGATTACGCAACGTAAATGGAAATTCGGGGGAAATGAATAATGGAAAATCGCAAGTGTCGCTGTCCCTTTAAAATCGATTTAGATAGTTTTTTTTGAGCATTTTGGGGGTTGGAAAATCACAATCGATTAAGTAATGTAAAGACAAATTGGGGGAATAACTATTAGAGTCAATCTGATGCCACTGCCTCTTTAAAATCCACTTCGCTAGGTGTTCGAGCAATTTTTTGAAGGTCATAAAAGCACAACCGATTACGCTATGTAAAATCACATTAGGAATCCAGGACCCAGAAAATCCCAGGTGTCACTGCCCCTTTAAAATTGCCCTATTCGGCGGGCCAATAGAATCTGGAGAGTGTTTTGACGGCATTCTGGACGGCGGTTGGAACGAGCGCGTCACCCACAAAATCCCGTACCAGTTGCGCGTTCGACGCTGAAATTAATCGGTTACGCCATCAAATCCAGCTTTTTATTGCCTTGGGCGGTCCTTTAAAGGAACCGGGAAGCCAGTTTCTAGGGGGTTATATTTTTGGCAAGAAACCCGGGAAGGTAGGGTCAACCGATTACGACGATAAATTAGATTCAACATCAATTCTCAATTACTGACATAATTTCACGCCTTGCTCATTTTTTTTTTGCCGAAACATATTTTTGAGACACATCCCTCAGAAAATGTGACATTTTATGGCTTATCATCCCCTTTAAAGGCACAACCTGTAAAATTGTAGGTTTTGGCAACGCGCTAGACTGCTTTGGGCATCAAGACCAGGGTTGGTCACAATGATCGGGGGTCCGCGTCCGCTATGCAAATTACGGACGCGGACGGACGGGTCCGGACGCGGACGGACGCGTTCGGACGCGGACGCAACGGACGCTACAGAGTCCGCCGGACGCCGGAAGGTCCGCGATGCAAAGCACAAAAGCGGATGCTAATTCAGGTGTCCCTGGTTTAGGAAAGCGTAGGATCATAATCTGACTAGCATCCTTGACGTTGACTTAGAATAAAACACAAAAATTACTGTCACTGTCCAAGGGAAAGCGCCAAAAAAGTTTGAGCAAACGAAAAGCTTTGAGATTTTAGTGCAATGTTCCATTGTTCTTGAGGTTTAGTACTAGTTTCTTCGTTTCCGACTTGCTTTTGTGTGACTATTTGGACAATTGAGGATTATTTTTTGTCATAATCCAAGTCGACACGAAATATTCAAATTAGATCTGTGGTGATGCGCCTTCCTAAGCCGCAGACTATTGAATTAACATGGTTATCTGCACTTTGCATCGCGGACCTTCCGGCGTCCGGCGGACTCTTTAGCGTCCGCTGGGTCCGCGTCCGGACGCGTCCGTCCGGTCCGGACGCGTCCGGACCCGTCCGCAATTTGCATACATGGTCCGGACCCGTCCGGACGCGGACGGACGCGGACGGACTTTCGATCATCATGACCAACCCTGATCAAGACTAACCGATTACGACATGAACATGGACCATTTCCAAATGATAATAAGTGTTTTCATTGGACTGATGCTTTTGGCGAAAATCCATTCGCGAAATTCGAACCAATCTGTTTTGGCGTTTTCATCGTATTCGATTGGTCATTATTAGTTCTAGGTTGGAGCCATACCGAATAGAACTAGTGACCTCGTTTTTCGCGGCGGTCATTTTTTTGGCGTAACACACTTCCAAAACCCACTTCCGAAAATCGAGCTAAATCAATCCTTCACTTCCGGCTTTTTTAAAAACGATCCAAATTGGGCCAGGAATTTCATTTCCGGTATTGTGGTTGAAATTCACACGCGGACTAATGGCCTCGTTTTTCGCGGCACTTAATTTTTAGCGAAGCATTTTTTTTTCGAAATTCAACCCCGCATTGGCGTCAGATCTCTGCTTCCCTTCCCGGTCCCTTGAAAACGCACCTAAAACCCACCGGCCCAATCAGCAAATCCAGAAGGAGTTAGCGTATCACGCGCATGGATCAACCTCCGGTGCGCCAGCTCCCATCCCGTAATTCGGTCCTCGCGCGTACGGCGTCGTCTTAATTTACGTTTTTTGGTTGTTTAAATTCGTTTTGATAGAGATTCAGCCTTGCCACATCTTTTTTCCATGATTTTTGAAACGCGTTTTAGTTAAAACCATTTTAAAATAATTTTTTTTTTTCATAGATTTTAATATTTTAATTTTAGAAAAGCTTGATTTTTATTAGAATTTTGATTTTAGGAAATTAAAAGCGTGGCTAAAGCTGTTAATAACTAAATTAGAACTAATAAATTCGTCATGTTATGCAATTTATACAAATTGATACAAGATTCTCCAATTTAGCGTCTCGAAATTGCTGACTATCAAAATTTAATTTTGCCGATTTTAGGCACTTAAAATTCAGCTAATTTCCGTTTTTCTGTAGGATTTATTGATGGATTGTAAAAAAGAAAAGTCTTCTTTGAGAAATAAATGTTGGAGAAGAATTAAAAAGGAAAAAAAAGGATGAGAGAACAAAAAAGAATTGACGTTAATTACAGATTGGAAGTCGTAATAAAATCAGAATATTTTTGGAAACATGTTTTTTATTTCCACACCTGATCTGCTCCAATCTGTCGACGATAAATAGGTTAAACTCGTCCCAGGTGATGTCCATCGCCTCGGCCCCGTCAATGAAAGACTCGAATTTTGCCACCGGTTCCTGAATCGATTTTTTTGGTTATTACGCGTAATATTACTGTACATTTTTCTCTTCTAGCGACTTCTCGACTTTGGCCTTGATCTCCTCGAAAGTCGGCTTTCTAAAAGTAGTTTTTCAAAAAATGTTTCATCGATAATTTAAAATAGAAGAGTTTAGGCAAGTAGAATCGAGACATCCATTCGGACAATCATTTTGCTTAAAAAATCGCGCTTAATTTATCGACATAATCAAGGCGCCGCAGGATTTTTAATAGAACAGAAATGTTTCATAAAGAATTCAAACGTGGAATTTTTTGGCGCCTACATTAAAGTCAATCCATGTAACACGGCCAATCAAACAGGCCAAAAACGGCAATTTGCCGGGAGGGGCAAAAGCGTAGATAGGAGCCGGGCGTAGCGCGCTTCAAAAAGTTTAAGCCCATGTAACTTTTTCAAACCGACTTAATATTGAAAACCTAATATCAAATATTGCATAGTAGAATTTTACGGCTCGAATGGAACCAAATAAAGCAGGTTAGTCCTCCGAAATACCACTTTTCACAAAGTCGTCAACAAAAACCGCCTTCGTTTTGATACTTTCTGAACACAGTTTTCTTAGTGCTTGGTATCATTAGAATCGCCTCGTACCATTCTACAAAGTTGGGACAAGCTTTTTTTAAGATTCACTTTTGTTTTAAAGTTATAAGGCTTAGAAGTTTTGGTCCCATACATTTTTGAGTCGATAGGAGTGCTGCGTTGCTTAGGGCCTTATTGCCGCTAATTTTGGGCGTGGTAACATAACAAGCGTTTCAGGATGTGATTTTGATTTCAATAAAAAAATGTTGCATCCAAAATTAAAAAGAAAAATTTTTATGAGAAAGCGTAATTATGCTTGTCACTCAAATTTAATTAATTGGAAGAAAAACCCCCTATCAGAGTTTCAAAAGTTACGGGCATAAAAATGTGTTTCATCTAACAATAAGATTAAAATATTTTAGGGTTATACTAATTATGGGTTCGCTTGAACAGAGAAATTGGGCTTCTTCAATAACGTTTCTAAGTTACCAAAAAATCACCGCTATTGGCCAGAAATTCCCGAAAAATGTGATGTGACGCTTTCTTTAATGCTCGTGAACTTTCCTCAGTAACCTCTGCTGGTTGTCCGTCATTTTTTCTTAGAAAATCGAAAGAAATGTCATGATCCCTTTATAAACTGGATTCTCCAAGGAATCTCTGCTAGTTAACCAACCCGTAGATACTATCGACGGCCCAATTGTAGACGGGGGATACCAGGTAACTTGACACCGTCTCGCTCACGTTGATTCCGCGCGCATTTTCTAAAAATAAAACAAATTTTTGGTAATTTTTGTTCGTAAAGAATCTCTGCTAGCCTGCCCTAGAGATAGCACTAAAATTTGCCCAAGAATCTCTGCTAGTCGAGCAAAAAAATAATTTTCCTAAATTGTCACTGCTAGCGTGCCCCGCCTGGACTTGGAGGCTTTAAATTCCGCAAAGAATCTCTGCCAGCCTGCCCGTTCCATCCTTTTCTCAGGGAATCTCTGCTAGTACTCACGTCAAGAATGTGTTTTCCTAAAGCTTCTTTGCTAGCTTGCCTCGTCCGACCTGTGGCTTTTCATTCACCCGAGAATCTCTGCTAGCCCGCCTCTACCTATTTCCGCAAAAAATCTCTGCTTGTTTACCCCTCATTTTCCCAAAGAACCTCTGTTAGATTGCCCCCCTAATTGGCAATTTGCTCCTCAATCGTATTTGCTAGCTTGCCACCACGTTTGCAACCAAAGAATCTTTGCTAGCCTGCCTCCTGCGATTCCGACTCGAAAAACCGGTCGGTCGCTTTCCTCAAATATTTCTGCTAGCCTGCCCTGTGTATTTCCACAAGAATCTTCGCTAGCTTGCCCTGTCGACAGCAATAAAATTTTTGAAAAACTGACTAGCCATATCGAGTATGTTGTCGGGTGATAGGGCCGTGGTAGCTTGGATCCACCGCCGATGTGCCAACTCCCAGCCCGTAATTCGGTCCTCGCGCGTTCGGCGTTTTCTAAAGTTTTTTTAACGTTTCTGGCACAAATCGTCTAAAAATTAAGAAATTTATAAATCTTTTAAAGATCGAGAGGTTTTTTTGAAGTTTTAAAATGTTGTGTTTCGGCTGAATTCCGAGCATATGGGCTACTTTTCTTCGTAATTGAAGCTCATACATTTATCGAAAAAATCCGGATTTTTATGGCTTTCAAATAAGTTTTAGGCTACGGCTTTTTGGATCCATTTAAATTATAGAAATTTCCTATTATTCGAAACCGGTAAAGTAGAAAATCATGACATGAGTTTTAAAAAGTTTGTTTCGTGAAATTTTTACCTCACGGCGCCTATTTCTCACCTCCATCCTCATGGAATGGTGGTAAAACAAATTTTGAGCTTTTCTAGCGAAATCCTTTGCAAACTTTAGTAATGGTTGTGTTCGAAAAAATTTAGTTCCGCCTGCCAATTTTTGTGCTTACTACCGACTTGCTCTGGCGGCTTCGCTTATAATTTAGCATTTTCATATAATTCCCAAGTTTGGAAAAGTTCTCGCTTTGCCCCTTTAAAAATCGAAAATTTGTATTTTTTGTTTTGGTTTTCCAAGTTCAGAAATTAAAATTTTCTCGACTGTTGCAAAGATCCTGTTTCAAAAAAATTGTTATGGACGCCCATTTTTTCTTAATTCATGTGTCTTTTTGAATAAAATTTTTGACTTTCGTCCAGTTATCTGTTTAGAGTTAAAATTATCTGTTTCGAAAAATCTTAACTAGTTACGCCATTTTTTTATTGATATAGGCATCGAAATCGCTAGTTTTATTTTTCGTATCTTTTTCTAATTATTACTAATAAAACTTTATTACTTTTACTAATAATTACTATCTGTACCTCCTCTTCTCGATCAAGTAGAGCATATACAAATTGAACTGATCCCACGTCAGTCCCATCTCCTCGATCTCCATCAGCATATAATCGAATCGCTCGGGGATTTCCTGCAATCAACCCGGGTTTTTTGGTTCTAGTGCAGTAGCGGGGGGGGCATTTTTAGCATTTTTGCGATTTTCTCGCAAATAATTTCTGCTAGCTTGTCTCGGAGAACTTTTCCCAAAGATTCTCTGCTAGCATTCCCGTCCTGTTCTCAGAAATATTTTCCGCAAATGGCTTGCCAGCCAAGAAGAAATTTCCTAAATAATCCCTGCTAGCCTATCTAGAGAAATTATTCCCTAAAAGATCTCTGCTAGCATACCCGTTTAGTTCTGAAAAATATTTTCCGCAAATGGACTCTGTTAGATCGCTTAGATTTTTCCTAAGGAATCTCTGCTAGCTTGCCCGCCTGCCAGGACCAGGGCAAAACCATTTTTTCCCGAATGGTCTCTGCTACTCTGCCTGGGTAAAGGCTTCTCTAAGGTTTTCTGCCAGCATGCCTGGAACTTTTCCTAAAAGATCTCTTCAGGCTTGCCCATCTGCCCAGGGGTGAATATTTTCCCCTAAAGATCTCTCCTAGCTCGCCCACAAAATTCCACAAATTCTCTCTGCTAGTTTGCCCCTTCAAAATCTAAACTAGACCAACCTTTGTCCTCTCGTTGTACGCGTGGATTTTTGCCTTCAGCGCTTCCATATCTTGCTTTCTAAAATGTAAAATAATTTGTAATAATTTTTTCTTAAAATTTCATAAAATACGGTGATCGCGTTTTCGAAATTATTTTTCTTGCAGGGTCGGGAAATATTCTGTTTTTTTTTGGTCATCTGCTGCCCTCGTTATCTGATCGTTTTCCCGAATGGGCCACGCGCTTTTTCTAAGCCCTTCCCTCACGAAATTTCCGTCGCACAACAAATTGCGTGTCCAAGGAACGGCTTGCGCAACGCATTCCAAAACATAATAAAAATTTAATTTTTACAGAAAAATTTATTTTTATGAAAATCAAGTGTTTCAAAAATAATTTGACTTTCGCAAAGTTACCACAAAATAATTAGCGACGGTTACCGCTGGTTTTAAAAACGACTTGGAAAAACCGTTTTAACAACTCCTAGGCGTCAAAGCGTTACAAAATTCTGTTTAAAAATTCCAAAAAAAAAATCGATTTTTGAGCAAAATGGCAAAATTTAAGAATTTTTTTAGATAGATTTTCCATTCGAGTTTCGGAATATCGTTAAATTTTACTAAAAAGGATTAAAAATATCTTATATTTCCTTGGAATCTATTTCTTGGCTGCATTTTTGGAATCCGTGTTTGTTTTTTATATGAATTCAAACCTGATCCCAATGGCCACATTTGGCGCCCCAGTTCCTTAGACAATTTTGAAACAATATTTTTTTAGAGAAAAACAATTCCGCGCAAAAATTATTTTATCAAATTTTTGATTATTTTAATGAAAATTGCGCCATAAACTGAACTTTTTAAATTTAAATAAACTAAATCTACTTTTCATTAAATAAAATGACCACAATTTAACCAAAATAGAACGTACTGTACGCAACTGTCGACGGCCCAATTGTAGACGGGGCCCGCCAAGTAGCTGGCCCCCGACGCCAGCCAATAGGTCATTTTCTGAAACATATTAATTTTATTACTTTTGATAATTAAGGATTTCCAAATGAAGCATCGTAAAACAAAAACAATTACTAATCGATAGGGCGAAATTGAATTTTCTCGCACCTAAGAAGTTGGGAATAGGAGGGCTAAAACCCCGGAGAGGAGTGGCGGAACTGAAATATCGATTTTTAAGGAAATTGAATGGCGCAAGGAATTCGGAAAGAGGGTAAGCTAGCAGCGATTCTTGAGGAATTCAGGGCAGGCTAGCAGAGGCTCTTGGCGTATTCAAGAAAACGTGATACTTTCTTTCAGGAAAGTGACGGTCAATCCTAGACAAAAAAAATGTGTTTTGCTAAAATTAAATGAAAACTAAATCAAAACAAAATAGGAACCAAAACTTTCGCAAATAAAAAAAATAGAAACGAAATAAAGCTAGAAATAAAGGCGATTAGGGCAGGCGGGCAGCGATTTTTGAAGAATTTTGTATCTATCGGAACTGCCTCAAAATGGCAGAGATGACCCGGAAATCAGTAAGGCAGGCTAGCAGTGATTTTTGCGGAATCCAGAGCTAAAAACCCCATGAAAAAGTGCTTTTGCCGTCAACTCTGCCCCCCTGATCAGCCCGGAAATGAACTTTTGCTGATCAGCCAGTTAGTACGTCTCGAGTCTCGTGCCAAAAGAGCGCGTAAACAGTAATGGGGCGGAAAGAGCGAGAGAGAGAGAGAGAGAGAGAGAGAGACAGAGCAAGAGAGATAGAAAGTTGTTGTTGATGTAGGGCAACTAAGAGGGATTGATTGTCAGCTGGAATGGAACTATGGAATGGCAGACTAGGCAAAGCGAGAGAGTGACAGGCCGGAGAGACGCAGAGAAAAGAGGCAGACGCGAGAGTGGGGAGTTAGAGAGAACATAGACAGCCACTGACCCGCCCCTCCCGCATTTCACGGAGCTATTTGATTGCGTAAGCGAATTCGATTTAACGAAAAGAGTACTTTTGCAGTATCGGGGGAGGGGGAACTGTTTTCCTTGGGGATCCTACGCTTTTCGCATATCAATAGAAAGTGTGCAAACTCTTTTTACTAGTCTTAATCTCAAAAACTAACAAGTTGCTAAAAAATTGAAAATACATCGCCCTTGAACGAAAAATGGCTGATTTTTGGACAAAATATCGCAATAAAAATTTTTTAATATTTAGGTCCCCCGTCCGATCATCCGAAAGACCCAACAAAAAATGGTATTAAGTCGAACCGTAAATCCCGATTTTTATTTGTTTTTGAAACATTAAAAAATAAACCGAGATTTTTTTGTTTGTGTTTATTCAGCATTGATCATAACTCAAAACGTATGGCCGCTGGTTTTAAGTACCCTGAAACATTAAAAATTTCAGAATGGCGTCAGATTCGCCGAAAATTATAATTTCATTAACAGAATTGAAAAATTGAAAACTATGTAAAAGCCGGATATTAAAATCAGTAATAGTAATTCATATTTGACAACTATTGAAACATGAAAAATTTTCGGTGAAACCATTATTAATACATTTCGTTAACGGCAATTTTCTGCACGTTGAAATAAAGACGTTTTTGGAAATTGGTGGGATTACCTATTGATAAAATTTAAATTTCTGTAAAACATTGAAATTTTGAAAAATAAATTGTTTTGCAATGCATAAAATGGATTATTCCGTTTGATTTTCAGGGGCGCTTGGCGTTTCGAGGATGTTGTCGGAATGGGCGGGGCCGAGGAGGAGCAGCGTCTCGAGGAGATCAACCGTCGAATTGGGCCCGATACGCCTGTCAATATACAGTACACCAGTGTACGTCAAGGGTTACGGTACTTGGGACGTGGGGTAGGAAAAAGTTTGTAGACCGAGCGGAAAGCTTGGAAGATTAGCGATCACATTTTTCACTGGTCACTAAAAAATGATGAGACATGATTTTTCAAAAATTTTAGATTTTTGCGTGACAAATTTGTCTTTCATTAATAGTGCGGAATTAATGCAAGGAAATGGAATTAATAGCTGAATATTGACAACAAGAAATTATTTTTGCCGAGTTTAAGGTGGGAATTTTTAAATGTTCCAGCGGATTGAACAGATTAGGCGATCTAATTTCCATTTCGTCTAAAATTTTTGTGAAACATTGATACTCTACCGCAAATTTTATGTTTCAGGGAACGACTGGCCATCCGAAAGCCGCCACCCTCAGCCATCACAACATCGTCAACAATGCATATTTGACGGGAATCGGCACCAATTACCATATTGGAGTGGGTTTCTCTCTCTCCTACTCTCTCTTTCTCTCTCTATCTCTCTCTATCTCTCTCACTCTCTCTCTCACTCGCTCTCTCTCCCTCTCTCTCTCTTATTTATTTTGAATCACAGCGCCTTTAAAAAAGTAAATCAATAAAGTTTTTAGATATCTGTGCGCGTTGTCCATTAGTAAAAACAAACCCCAGTTAGAATCGAAAATTGTTGAAACATCTATTTTTCAAAAATGTAAAATTTTTCTTTTGATTTTTATTTTCTAAAATTTTAATTTGATGGATTAAATTCTGAGATTTGTAACTCTACAGAAATTTTTCTTGCTCGTATTTTTCTCGAATTTTCCAGGAGCACCGTATCTGCGTGCCGAACCCGCTCTACCACTGCTTTGGCTGTGTGATGGGCACCCTGAACGCCCTCGTCCACAAGTAAGTATCTGCGAATTTGTTGCTTTAAATCCATATGCATTTTTTGAAAATTAGGAAAGTTTTGGAATTCAATTTTTCCTAATGGAAAATCTTAACCTGTTCCCCAAAAAAATGTTTCATCCCAAATTAAAAAAAGCGTTTCCAGAATGAAAGCAATCCATGACGTTTACTAACTGCTTTTGCAAAAATTATTCATTAGCCAATTTTACAAATAATTTATAATGCAGCAAACATTTTCGAGGAATTGATTTGAATTGAAAACGAACTTCTGCCGATTAAGCTCTTAACTGCCGAATTGATGATTGTCGATAACCAAAACATGTTTTTTTCAAAGACCATAAAATATTTTTTTGGACGTTTCCCGCTATCACGGAGTGGAAATTAAATTATGACTTTATGACCTGATAGAAACTGATATTACATAACTTATTTTAGAAGGCAAAATTTCCCTTTTTCAGGCAATCCCTGGTGTTCCCGGACAAATGGTTCAACCCCGCATCGACGCTCGACGCCGTCGAGGAGGAAAGGTATCCATTTTGGCTTAGTTTTTTGTTTAAACCGGGACATGCGCGCAAAGAAAATTTGGGAATTCGTGACCACACATTTTTTAGGTGTACGGCTCTGTACGGTACGCCGACGATGTTCGTCGACGTGTTCAAGCACGGCATCGAGGGGCGCGATCTGTCGTCGTTGCGATCCGGTAACGAAAAATGCATTTTTAGCTTTTGTACTAGCTCAGATAGGAAACTTTTTTATTTCCTTTCAAAATGTCGAAATTCAGAATGCCAAAATTTTATAAGCTAATTTTCCCGGAAAACGCCCCAAATCCTATCCAAAAAAATGTCGACGTTTTGAATTAGAAATTATGACAATTCGACATTATTATTTTCAACATTGTGATAGCAAATAAACTTTTCAACTTTATCAACAAATTTCGAAAAATTATAACGAAAAATTAATCGAAATTCCGGTATTTTTCAGGTTACATTGCTGGTTCGCCGTGCCCGGTGGCCCTTTGCGAGCGGATGGTGAATGATCTTGGCCTTCGCGATCTGGCTGTTCTCTACGGTAAGATACTATACTGTAACGATTTCCAAAATTAAATTGTAATGATAGCAAAAACAAAACTTAAAGTCAAATTTACAAAAATGTGTTTCGACCCAGAAGAAGTTTCAGCCTTTTCCGGGATGCTTAATGTTGCGGCTTTGCCTTTTTCCGATTTTTGCGACGGACGAAATGATTGAAAATCGACAATTATCATAGCATTTTGCAGTCTTAATAGCAAAACACTTTAAATAAACTAAGAGTTTTTCGGAAACTAAAAGCTTCGAGAATCGCTGACTTTTTCCTCAAAAATGCATGAAAAATGGACAAAGCTGTTCGAAATGTTAGATTTTTGAGATGCTTTACTGATTTTTATAAAGTTTTTCGATGCGAAAATTTTAAAAACCTTACAAAAATATGTTTTATTGAATTACTAGGGCGCAATAAGTGCCAGATCTAAAAAAAAAAACAAAAATAAAAATGAAGGTCAAATTTAGAAAAAAAAGTGTTTCGACCCATGTCAAAAATCAGTTCTTTTCAGAATGCTTAATGTTTGAGTAAACAACTGTCGGTGACATCGAGCTAAATCATTCGTTGAGGCATCGCCAATTCTCCTGATTTCTCTAGAAATTTTGAAATGAATTCGCCCTTATTTATTTATCGATTTAATTTGTAGTTTATTTTCACGCTTGACTTGTATTCTGGGCTTAATCTGGTTCATCTGGCTAACGCAATTACGCAATTTTATTCGTCTTGGCGTGACCTTAACTTTGTCAAAGTTATTTTTGAATATTTTTATGTCAGAAAATTATAAAAACTTTTTGAGGTTTCATCTATTTTGATAGATCGGCGAATTTTTGGGGTTATAGTGGTCTGAGACTGATCCTACTATATATAAAAAAATAGTGTTTGTGTGTGTGTGTGTGTGTGCCACTTTGCATCCACTTCCGTCTGTCTGTCCAGAGGATATCTCAAGAGGGGACGGGTATTAGGCTACGTATGATACGTCATTAGGTGCGTAATGGTCTAGGGATCACTGCACACATATCGGATTTTTAAAAATTAGCCATTTTCGCTATTAAATCTAGGTTTTTGTAAAAACCTCTTTGTTAGGAATAATTAGCATAGAGCGAAAGTGGGTGGTCGCCTATATAAAGAGGCAGAAACGGTTGTTTTCATTTTTTGTCTTCTGATTGAATGGAGGACAATTATGCAAAGGGCAGAATAGTATGGGGTCCGAGACGGGGCCAGGGTTGAAAAGTCGCGAAGCGGCTTTTCAACCCTGGTAATGCTTAAAAATTGTCTCACCAGAAAATGCAAATTTTTTGATTTAATTTCATTTTTAGGGAGCACGGAACTGTCTCCAATTGTGACGCTGTCGCGGCTCGATGAGGCCCCGCTCGAGCGCATTAAAAATGTCGGCTACGTCGCCGCGCATACCGAGGTAACGGGGGAATTGAATTAGACGTTAAAATACGGAAATAACTTGAAAAGTATTTACCATTCTGTTTCTCTCTATCTCTCTCTCCCTCTCTCTCCCTCCCTCTCTCTCTTTCTCTCTCTCTCACACACACTCTCTCTGGCTTTTTCTCTATCTCTTTCTCCTCTTTCTCTTTCTCTCTCTTTCTCTCTCTCTCTGTCTCTCTCTCTGTCTCTCTCTCTTGATCTCTTTTCCCCCAAATAACCCCAGCTAGCCTGCCCGTTTTCAGTTGTGTGTCGTCGACGCGGAGGGAACAATTGTGCCGCGTGGCGAAAAGGGCGAGCTGATGGCCAGGTGATCAATTACATCCCTTTGGCATTATTTTTGTAGTCTACAGTAGATTTTGTAGTTTGTAGTCTCGTTTGTATACTTTGTAGCCTGGTAAATCTGTCTCTATTTTGTCCCTATGTTCAGGGGCTACATGCTAATGTCGGGCTATTTCAACGACGAGGAAAAGACGAAGAAGGAGATCACCGACACGCGCTGGTACCACACCGGGTATTTATTTTATTTTTATAAATAGCTTGTCTTTTGTCTTCTTTTATTTAACCAGTGGAAAAAGACCGCTTCGCGGCCATTTTCCACTGGACCCCCGTCTAAGAACCACGAATTCTAACCCTTTCCTTTCTTTTCCTTTCCCGGAGTCCCCGGAGCCATTCCTCGGCCTGAGGCGCCAGAGCGCGGGCTACGTTCGAAACCTTGAGCGCGGCGACAGGCGCTAGCTACTGACTTTACTCTCCATATTGGGCCTGCGGCGCAAGAACCGGAGTAAAGGAGCCATTCTTTGGCCTGCGGCGCCAGATCCAACGTTGCGCTAGAATTTGTAAACCTGCGGCGCTAGTTACTGGTTTTTCTCCAGGCTTTGGCCTGCGGCGCAAGAGCCCGGGTCCAGGACCCATCATTGGCCTGCGGCGCGAGAGCCTTGGGCCAAGGACCTTTTTGGCCTGGCGCTAGAGCGAGAGCCTAGAAATATGCTTTGTTGCTGAACTACCAAAAAGCAAAAAGTTAGATCCGGGCAGGATCCGAACTCACTACTACGCGCCTGGCAGGTAGATGCAAATGCACTGCACCACCGTGACGATGGGAACAGGCAGCGGGAAAAGCCTCTTCTCCCCTGGGGGAGGGGGGGAGGCAAAAAGAATGGCGACCCAATGATCCCGGAGGGAGGCCTACTGGTCACTTTACAAAATTCGGTTTTCGAGTCCCAATCAGCTGAAAATTTGTAAAGATAATAAGTTGCGCATGATCCCCACCATCCATAACATAAGTTTTCCAAATTTCAGCCCGGAATTCCATCAGGGCTTCGATTTATGCCCCGGACACCACGGCTCTTGGCCCATTTTGTTAAGGACTTTTTTAGAAAAATGCTCATAAAAATGTTAGATTACAAAATCTGCCAAAACGCGGAATTATATCACAGGAGAATGTAATTTTCAATCTGCCCTCCAAAATTTAGCGCCTAATTCCATTTGGCTCGCGGAGATATCCTCTGAACAAACCTTTGTTCTGACAAAATGTTAAGGATTTTTTAATATTTTGCTTGTAAAATCGTTAAATGAAGGAATTTCAAGAAACAAAAAAATGCGCCACTGACAAATGTGTTTCTCTACCTCCGTGCCAAAAATCAGCCGGAAATTCGGCCTCGCGGCTGTACAGAAAACAGACATACTTTTCTCGCTTCTAGGATAGGATCTATTGTCTTCTATGATTTTAATTTGATTTTATAGAATTTCTTCAGGTTATCTAGACGAATTTAGAGAATGTTATTTTTTCCAGGGTTTATGAAGCTCATGTCATCGAGGAATAAGCCAGTAAAAGAGAGAGCCGGCTGTCATTTTTATGAAACTTCATAATTTTTTTCAAAAACTTAATTTTTGTACACAACCACCTTAATAAAAATATGCTATTTCCGGGCATGGCAAAGATTTTTACAACGGTTTGCACATTCGATAGCATCTCCCTCAATATTTTTAAAAGATCTTAATTTCCTCAAAATTTTGATCAATATTTATTAATGAAAATTTGTCTTTTCGAATAGCAAGTTTTTATTGTTTATAAATAACATTAAAAATATTAGACACTGCTCCAATCAGCTGGTTAGAAAATGGGATGAAATTTTTTTAGTTTTGGAATCCAATCAACTGAGATTCCGCCTAATTCCGATAGGCGGCCCTGAAATTTTCGTGAAACCTTGAATTTCCAAGGGGGGTTGAATTTCGTTCGATTTTAAGTTGACTTAGGCTAAATTAAATTAATTTAACGGGTTTACGATGTATTTTTTGTGATGATTTTTTGGTCCTTTTGTATGTATGGATTTTTAAGGAATGTGTATTTTGCAGGGACACGGCGCTGATGGATGAGAATGGGGCCATCTCGATCGTCGGCCGCACCAAGGATATGATTATTCGGTATGCGCCCAAAACTTCGGTATTATTGAGCCAAAACAATCACTGCACCCTTTAGCAGTTTTCGAAACATCTTTTTTTATGCTGAGGTTTTTTCTAAAGAATGTTTTAAACATTGTCAACTACTATTTATTAAAAAACCCCCCACTACAATTCAAAACTACCGAGAAACAATGCATTGTTATCTGTTATAAAAATCAAAACCAAAAATTAATTCAATGTTCAGATGCTTTAGAAACATCTTGTTTTTCAAAGGATCTTTCCAGAGAGAATTTTCCAAACATTTTTAATTGCTGTGAATCAAAATGACTATACTGTACGTTTTACGCTGTCTCTGGCGCAAATATTACGCGTCAAAGTATCTAAAACTTTAGCAGCTTTGAAACAACTTTTTTTGGGGTAAATTTTTGGGACCATGAATTTTGCGCAACGAATTTTTGGCCAGCTCGAGAGATAGGGGAAACGGAGAGGCGCAGACGTAGTTTCTAGTTGCCGAAAATTCGTTTCCATGGAGTTGCGCAAAATTCATGGTCCCAAATTTTTATAGGATGTTTCAAGCATTATTGCTGACTATTGATTAACGATGCTTTATTGTTTTGTTTATACCTCCCGATGATTGAAAATTAATTACAGAAATACGGTAATTTTTACGGTAATAAGGTATACGGTAATTTTTAGCTCGCCAAAATAATGGGTTTCATGCTTTTGAAAATCCGAAAATGCCCATTTTAATAGCTTCTAAAGTCATGGCTTTTATGCTGTTTAAAATTCCGAAAATTCGATAAATCTAAATCAATAGTTCTCCGCGATTTAATAACGAACTGCTGGATCCCCTAAATTGATAAAATTACTCCTTTGAAATACAGCAGTTCTTCAAAAATACAACCACATGAAATACAAATCCAAATATTTTTTGTTTTCAGCGGCGGCGAGAACATCTACCCCACCGAGATCGAGCAGTTCATGTTCCGACTGCCCTACATTGCCGATGCGCAGGTAATTTGGTAAAGATTACCATTCTATTAACTTCAATTAAAATCAAAAAGTTTGACAAATACGTGTAACACATTTTTTCAACCGTGGAAAAGTATTGGCCTTGACAATATAGGCTCTGCATGTAAAAAATTGTAATTGAATGAAGTTTAACGAAATTTGAGCGAAAATGACGCAAAGAAAATTCCATGAATTTTAATTTTTGGGAAAAATTAGAGAATCGGAAGCTACCATCAATGCAGCGTCCAAGTTTTTCTGTTTAAAATGCACCAACTCATTAAACAAAAATCATTTAAATTCTATATAAATCTGATATGAAAATACGGTAATTGGGAACATTTTATTTTTAATGATTTTTGGGTGAATAGATTTCGCTTTGAAATTCCCTCTCATTTAACTAATTAGCCGTAAATTCGCTAGAGTTTAAACGGCTGTGAAACATGTAATGTTCTAAAAAAAAGGCTAACCAGGTTATTCGAATGCAAAACATAAAAAATCTAAGAGTATAATAGATAAAAATTTAGAGGTAATATAATGTCTAGAATTTTTATAATTCCAACTACCTTCACTAAAATCCTGATTAACGGACCTGCCAATTCCTTAGCCCTCAAAATTTTATGAAACATGCGTTTTTTCAAATCCATAGATCCACCAAATTTTTTATAGTAGTTTTCTATTATCTAGTTCTATCAAACAAATTAGCGAAAAAAAGCGTAATTAACGGTTTAAGAAAACCTTTATTTACGTAAGAAATCTATGGAGTATCCGGGGGGTTTGATCAAGGGGAGAAAACTGCGGCGTTCGAATTTCTAAGACTTTGTAACTATAAAACACCGATTTGTCGAAGAACATCGATGGTGTTTTGTTGGTTTTCCGGTAAACGAGAGTAAATCTATATAAATTTGCTTCATATATATCGTCCTATATTCTGTTCACCTTTTGCGGGAACACGTCTCGGCTTGCTGATTAACTGCTCAACCTGAAATTATCTGATCCTTAAATTTCCCGGAAACATTGATTTTTTCAAAAAAATGCGTTGGTTTGTATTTGCCAACTTTTCGCCCATTTAAAGAACTGTTGAAGGCAGATTTAAAGATTTGCAACGTTTAGCTATTTGTGTAACTTTTCAAGGTTATTGGTTTAGGTGATCGGCGTGCCGGACGAGCGTTTCGGTGAGGCGGTTTGCGTGTGGGTGATGCTCCGCAAGGGATTTGAGGACAAAGTCACCGCCGAGCAGATTCGCGAGGATTGCAAGGGAAAGGTATGTTAAGAATATTTTTAAAGGTCAAAGTTCTAGTTAATATTAATTTCAATGTTTCGACAAATGGTGCTTAGAGGCGCGTTCTTTTGAATTTAATAGGGTTCGGACCCATACGTTTCACAGTCTAGTTAATGTTTTTTAATGTTTATTTGGTGAAACAACAATTTTATTTTTATTTCAAGTTTTTTGTTAAATTTACAATGTTTCATTACAAAATGACCAATTTTCTGATCAAAAAACGCCGATTTTCGACCAGATTTTTAAAAATGTTTTTGGATGATTTATCGACTTGCAACATAGATTAATTAGTCTGAAAATTGGCCCGCACCCCCCCCCCCCCGATAATGGGAAAGCTCGGCACATTTTATATGTATTAAATATTTTAGATAGCGCACTACAAAGTGCCGGCCTACGTGTGCATCAAGAAAATGGAGGATTTCCCGGTGACGGCCACCGGAAAGATTCGAAAGGTATTGTACTTATGCGTGCCTCAAAAGTCGCGAGAAATAATATTTTTGACGAATCCTGAATTATCAAAATATTTGAAACATTTTGATTTCAAATATTGTCTTATGGTTTTTAATTTCGGGCGCAAGCCAGCAGAGATCTTTTGGAATGGAAAAAATTATTGGGAGAAGCTAGCAGAGATCCTTTACGGAATGCGGCAATTAAAAAACCAGATCGATTACGGCAAGAGAAACTGGTAAAAAATGATTTTTTGTGTTTTCCAATAAAATGTTTCTAAGAAAATGCTGGTAATTTTTTAATTTAGAATGCTAATTCGCTCATTCATGTAGAGCAATCTAAAAATTAGAATAGGCCCAATTAATTAGGTAATCATAAATTTTCAGGTGGAGATGCGCGAGATGGCGCGTAAAGAGTTGGGGCTGGAGAATGTGCGCGACGTCTTCAACTGACCGGTCATTAATGCGTCATGGGTCGCCACTTCCACCGCCCTTTAAAATGAGCTTATTCACCCGCTTTGGCTGATGTGTCGCTGTGCCTTTAAACGATACCGGATGCTACATTACATTCTTTCATTCGATTGATGATTTTTACCTGCTTTTTGTGTGATTCGATTACTGTGTCTTTGTCAATAAAGCGTTTCAAGTTATACTAGCGCTACAGCTTATTGAATTGATCTAAAAAAAATAGAGAAAATTTTTCTGAACGTAATTTTAGTATTTCTAAACCCTAAAACTCTACAAATTTCGTTTAAAAAATACTAAAAATATAGATTTTTTTGATCAAAAATGGCCCAAAGAACCACTGCGGATTAGACGGCCGGTTCCGCAAAAATCCTTGCTAGCCTGCCCCATCATCCTAAAAGTCTCAAACCAGGACGCCGAATTAATATGAATAATTCCAGGTCACGAGCAAAAAACCTTAAACGTAAAATTCTAGAAACCTACTCCCAAAGAATCTCCGCTAGCCGGCCCCTGTCAAACAACCTGTGCTTGCTGCCTCAGCTAATTGGGTAACTGAATGGATCAAGCAATATTGAATCCCAAACGATTCTTGTGCCTAAAAAACGCCTGAGACAGCAAATTTTCCTAAATTTTGAATGGGTCGTATCTGGGGCAAATGCTCACAGCGAGCTTGCCCAGGACTATCGAAAATGTTTTTCCTGCTCCCCAAGAACCCCTGCTAGTCTGCCTGAAGCTTCATCTCAATATCCATTGATCATTTGGGTCATGCAAAGCTTCAAGCCATTACACTGCTGATTTCTGCCGTTCCGTCCCTAAAATTTGAAACATACAAAATGATTAAAATCAGAGAAATGTTTTAATTAATTTTTCCTGGCGGTCCCCGTTGGCCTAGTAATCAAATATAGTGTTTTTAGACCGTTATTAGTAAATTTTAACTATATTTAAAACAGAAAAACTTTCAAAAAGGTTCGAAAAACGTTTGAAGAAGTCGAAAATTGGTAATTTTTGGTCCTTCCCTCGCGCGAGTCCGAAAGGTTCCTTACTTAACCTAAAATTTGTGTAGTTTTTATGCCGAGGAATAGTTTACACAATCCTGAAAACTGCCCTAAAAACCCTGAAACACTCGTACTTTAACAGAAGTTTAACAGCCGCAAAAAAGAAAACTCTAGTTTGCAGATTTGCCTCTAAAAAGCAATTTTTAAGCTTAATTTTGCAGGTTCTTTAGAATCTACGCCCTCCAAGCCCCAAATCTCAAAACGATCGTGCAACCTATCCTACCATCGGATAGAGAAGAAAAAAAACTGCATCAGTATATGCTCAACTAGCCGATAGCATAGGCCCCGATTAGATACAGCTGGCCAAAACGCACGACAATACTTATGGACCACCCTGTATGAATTTCCCTTAAAGGGGCTCCGAACTGCCAAATCAAAGCCCTTTTGGGAAGGCTCTTTGATTTCTGGCAAATTGCCAGCGGGCGCTGCGGGACAATATCCCTCACTTTTTCGATTTTTGCGCGAGTTGTTTTTGCCCGTTTTATTTGTGAAAACACTATAATTTGCGCATTCTGAGCCCGTTTTTGAAATCCTCACTCAATTGTAAATAGTTTTGGTGTTTTAATCATCAAATTTGGCCCAGAAACCGCCGAGAACGTGATTTCGAGGTGACACCAGGCCATTTCAAATTGCGAGCTTCCCGGGCCCCTGGGTGTACAGAGGCCTCCGATTTTGGCATTTCGTAGCCCCTTTAAAAGCTCTGCTAGCCGCCCTTTCCAAACCACCCCACTGCGCAGGTACGCCCCGAAGCTGCCGCAGCCACGCCACAAATCCATCTGATACGCTTTAATGAGAAAATGCTGGCTTGATCCTGTGTATTAGATTTAGTACCATTTATCCACAGTTCACACCGAAAAGCACAGGCAAAATGAAAGGCGCATTCACAAGGGTTTAGTAGTAAAAATCACAGAATCGATTAAAAAGAAGGAAATGTCTGGTTCAAGCATTGATGCGGCGCGCCTTGAAGGTGCTGCTGTTGCAGTACTCGAGCGCATGGAAGTCGACTGCGCTGGCCGCATCGTGCCCCTTCCTGGAAAAATAAGAATAGAAACTAGGTCGGATATTCCCGTGGAAAAGAACGATTGCCAGCAAAAACAAACTTACATGAACTCGTTGAAAAGCCGACGTCCGCGGTCGCCGTACTCGGCGGCGATGCGCAAGGGGCTAGGAAGAGCCGTAGGCAGGTTGACGATCTGGTGCATATGGCACAAGTCGTAAGTCATCCCCTAAAAGCAAAATTAATGCAGCGGAAACGACCTCAACCTGTAGATAGTCCATCGACAAGTTGGCGTCATCGTAGAGCACGGTGTACTTTGGAGCTTTGGCGGTGCCCTGGAGGGCCGTGTGCGCGTTCAGGTAGAATTCACGTCCATGGGGGCTGATGACGAACCGGTCGACGACGGTGCCCGGCGGAATGTTCTTCTTGGCCGGCGTATCCCCGCTCACGATCTAAAAATGAATATTGGCGGTGCTAACGCACTTAGGCTATGACTATAAAACGCTCAGAATGCCGTTTCTTAAGCTCGAAGCCTCTGGAACACTAAGCGAAGCGTAATCCTACACTATTTTGACCTCGCAAGTCAATTTAAAGCCCAAGGTAAGCTTAGTTTGGGTTTAAGCTTAAACCTAAGCATACGTCAGATAGTTAACGCTAGAAGAAGCCTAGGCTTAAGCTAAAAACCAAGCAGCTGAAGTCGCGTTTTGTAACTTCATACCATCAACTTCGGACTGCTCTTTAACTGCATTAGCACCGTATTGGCAAAGAAAAACCGGATTAAAAAGAAGTCTCTTTCCAAATCACTCACCTTTTGGTTGAAGAAGCGGACGTGATGATCCTTGTGCGCCATGATGTAGGTGAAAAGGATCGATTTCCCGGGCAACGCTTCACGGATCTTCCCCAGAATCATTGGCACTTCAACAGCAGCAATTCGTTGCAAGTCCGTGTCGATCGTGCCACTACGGTAGATGACGACGCGCTTCAGCGTGTCCATGCGCCCCGGAACAGCTTGAAGCGCCGTGAGCGCCTTCGCAACAAGATTTCCGCCCATGACCTAAAACGATATTTGCAATCGAGGAGAGGCTTCTCTCACCTTGGCGTCTTGCGGATTCGCAAACTTCTCGATCACAAAGTCGCCAATGAAAGAGCCGTTGACCTCACCAAAGTTTCCGGAATACTAAAGAAACATGTCGGCAGAACAAAACCATCTTACCGAAAGGACGACCGGCTTCGCGCTGGATTGGCCGCCGAGCTTCTGGAAGCAAGCCTCGTCGAGGTCTTTCATCAGTTCGACGGGGCCGATGCCCAAAACAAGCGCTTCGCCCTTGTGCAGCTCGGAAGTAAATCCCTTCCTAAAAGCAAAATACAGTCCGAAAAATAAGCACGTACCCGCGCCTGACCGCGTAGTTCTGGCCGCCAAGCTTCACGTTGAACTTTTGCACAATGTTCTCGAGGGTGGCAGCCTTTCGCCCAGTCATGATTGCTTGCGCCGTCGACCACTTCATGTTCTGGCTGGCCACTTCGAACGTTCGTTCCAAGTACTTCAGACGGTCTTGCAGCTTCAGCTGATCTTCCATGGCGAATAGGGCAAAGTCGAAGCCGTTCTGCCGCAGGTTCATGAAAGCCCATTCCAGCTTCTCTGAGCCGAGGACCTGGAAAGAAAGGATGTAGACAACGAAAAGCAAAAAGAAACAACTGCGAGATGGAGCCCACGCCGTAATCGTTCTCCCGCAACTTCCTTAACAGCGCAAAAGATGATAAAAGCAAACATACATCCATGTAAGCGCATGGGGGCAGGTTCATCTGTCGCTTCTTGCACTCGTCCGCGAAGCCTTGTGTGAAGCGCTGCGCATCAAAGTTGCTGATGGGACGATCCGACACGGCGAAGAACGCCCATTTCTGAAGCGTCTTCGGCACTAAGAAGCCGGCGCCCTGCGGCTTGCGCCAGGTCCCTTGACTAATGTTTGCACTTCCAGGCTGGTAGACGGCTAGCGGGGCCGGGATCTTTCTTGCTTTGAACTAAAAAGGTTTAGATCAGCAACAAAGCAATACCCCGATTGGTTCGACGGTGTTGACTTTCAGATGCGCGCTCTGGCTGAGGTCGAGGCCGATATTCTGTTCCTTGATCAGATTCATGATGGCGCCTTGGCGATAATCCGGTACCATTGCGGCAGACTGGAAAAATTAAAATATATATTGGGAATGGGAAATGACATACGCGAACGAAAGTCTTCATAATCTCGGGCGTTTGCTTGGCTGTCGGCACAATGTGTCCTTCGTATGCTGCCAGGAACTCGAGCGGGAAGTGGCTACGCCCGGGGCCGCGCTTCACTTCTGCTAACGGAGCCAGCGGCCACTCGATGGCGACATTGCGATGCTGTTTGAAGTATTCCTCGACCGTCCATGTCTTGCCCTCCTTGGTCTCGAACCTGGCGTTGCGGGCGGTCTCCGGGACGATGCGGTCGATGCGAAAGTTCTGGTGCATCCCAGCGTAGCTGGTACCGACGAGCACACCTGAAAAACCGACATGAAATCAAGCAAAAAGAAATGCGGAAATAAACTGATAAACACACCTTTTAGCACGCGGTTAAGCTTCTCGACCGCTTCCATGCTCCATCCCACAGTAGGCGATTGGACATTGCAGATCCGGCGCGCAGTATCCAAGATCGGGCCGGCCTTCAGGAAACAGCCCTTTTCTGCATCGATATTGAGGGCCAACTGCGGCTGATTGCCCTCGCCGGCGATCAGCTCCACGCTCTTCTTGGAACCCAGCAGAATTTGCTTCTGCTCCGACAACTAAAAGCAAAAATGAACATAAAAAAATTACATTACATTGGAATCTTGAGCTTCAACCGGGTTGCGCAGAAAAATTCGGTTCCTCGAGAAGCACAAGAACTTCCGAGCTTGACCTTCTTGCCCATTTTCGAGGTTTTCGAAGCAGCTCTTCGAGACGGCGACCTCGACGTAGCAATTTGCGGATTGGTCGTCCTTGGTGCGGGCCAGCGGACCGGTGAGCTCCGAGATGGTGGAGTTGGACAACTAAAACATAAGAATATTTGCACCAATTAGTAACAACTCACCGTCATCTGGCCAGCATAGCGGAATTCCAGGCGAGCAAACTTGAAGGGAGCATAGAGCCTCTCATCAGGCAGTGGATACCGAGCCGTGATCATCCCTTCGCTGTCGATGCGCCGGCCGATGACGTAGAGCAGACGGTGCTGATCGTAGAACATGCAGGTGTTCCAGTTCGGCAGGCCATTCTCGCTAGTGATGCAGTGTTTGACGATCCGAGAGCAGATCTCCCGGTAGACCAGACGGAGACCCCTAAATTTAGACATTGACAGAGTATTGAAAACCTGAATGAACCGAAACGGAGAAGCCCAAAGGCATAACCAGAAAGCGGCTATACTAAAGATAGGGAAAGCAAAAGTACCAATAAAAAGAAAAACAAAAACCAACCCCTGCGCCGGTTCGCGGGTCAGCATCACGTGCTTCTTTGTCACATCGTCCATGTCCTCGTATCGGCTGGCGGTCACGTCGAGCTCGTACTTGTAGACCATCGTCTCGCCGGATACGTCCAATTTGAAGAAGTTGCTGTAGAGATCCACCGCTTCGCCGTCGGTGCCGGGCGCGATCGGGCCGGGCAGCGTGACTTCCGGCACGGCCGCATCGCTCTTGTGGTATTCAGACATCTCTGAAATGTATGAAATTAAATAAAGCGTGGTAGGAACGTGCAGAAGGGAAAGCAAGACGATATTATTAGTTGGACTGGGTCAATTTTCACCTTTACAGGAGTAGGCCAAAAAGTCCGGCTTGAGAGAGCGATGGCCACGGTGTCTTAGAGCGCGCACCGGGGTGGGGACGGGCATGGCCTAGTGGTCTAAGGCGGCGGCAGGCGCGGGGTGCTGGTTCGATTCCTCCCCTCGCCTAAAGACACGACACCGTTTTGCTTTTTTTGCAAAACGTTTCTGCAAAGCACCGTCAATAAATCTTTAACGAATTCCACGTAGAAAATTGGGCAGATGGGACGGTCCCGAGGCCGTAACCAGAAAAACTCTTGATTTTTGCTTCAAAACGTTTCAAGTCCTTATTTTTCCCGGCGATCGCCCAAATTCTTTGACCAAAATGTTCCCTAGAGTCTTCTCTATCGATCGCCAGGTGGAACATTTGTAATTCTTTCTCGAAAAAAAGTTATAGCCCTTAGAAAGCTTTTTCTAATACATTTTGGGGGCCAAAAAGGGGCGTGGCCTAGCCCAGTCCCTCCCGTCCCCTCGTGCGCGCTCCAAGTAAGGCCTAAGACGCCGTGTGGCAGATCAAGGGGAATTGTCTGAATGAAACGCATCTGCGGGGACCAAACTTTCTAACTGCAGCTGCTGAAGGGCAAAAACAGTCTGCCAATAATTAATCTTACAGCAAGACAGAAACGAAAAGAAAAACGAAACAAAATGCCAAAAAAGGAGTAAAAGAAGAAAATTGGAAAGATTCTGCAAAATCACGAAATCGTGCGAGGGGATTTTGCATTGCCGTTACGGTAGCGCGCACAAGATAAAATCCAGCGGTGCGTAGCATAGCGGAATTTCTTTTTTAGAGCAAAATTTGTAAAAAATCCACAAATCAATCATCAACTATAATAATTTTCTTGACGCGTCTGTCTGTCTGTCTGTCTGTCTGTCTGTCCGAAGCCGAATTCAACTCGAAGGGGAAAGGAGCTAGTGCTTAGCTCTCTTCGGATTCGGATAGAGCGCCATCAGAAACCCCCAAACTGATAAAAAAATTATGAAAAAGTTTTAGTTTAAATTATTAAAATTAACTTTGAAAGTTTTTCCTTAGTAAAAGGGGCGGGGGACGGAGGCTGGGCTGATTTTGGACATAGTGAGCCAGGTGGCGCGCGTTTCGTGGATGAAAATTTTCACCGGGGGATTTCATTACTTTTTTTTTCTCTCATTCCATCCGGTCGGTCGTTATTTTTGTTTTTTAAAGGATTTCGGCTAGGGCAGGTATCTGAAGCCATCAGGAAGGTGTTTAGGTAGTTTTTGAAGGGGAGTTCAGCCATGGGGGGTATCTGAAGTCATCAGGAAGGTATTTAGGTAGTTTTTGAAGGGGATTTCAGCCATGGGGGGTATCTGAAGCCATCAGGAAGGTATTTAGGTAGTTTTTGAAGGGGATTTCAGCCATGGGGGGTATCTGAAGCCATCAGGAAGGTTTCGAAGTAGTTTTTGAAGGGGATTTCAGCCATGGGGGGTATCTGAAGCCATCAGGAAGGTATCGAAGTAGTTTTTGAAGGGGATTTCAGCCATGGGGGGTATCTGAAGCCATCAGGAAGGTATTTAGGTAGTTTTTGAACGGGATTTCGGCTATGGGGGGTATTGATGGAGGTGGGAAAGGATGTGGTGGAGTGGGACATGTAGGGTAGCCCGAAGGCCAGATGGTTGCAGTCGCGAAGCGACTGTAACCATCTGGTTTAATTTAACAAATTAATTTAATAGATTCCACGTTTTTTTTTAAAACGGCAAGATTTAGAAACTTTCAAACACTTTTGACACTCTAGAAAAATGTTAGAAACTTTTTCATAACGTCGCGCAACAGTATAAATTGCGCGTCCTTGTCGCGAAATTTAGAAATGCGTAGACATTTGCATTAAATCTTTGAATTTAATTTTTACATCAAAATGATGTCCGTTCTGTGCCCATAATCCCCCACACACATACCGCTGCTTCCCATGGAAGAGCGGCGAACAGATTTCCCTCCCGAAGATGTCATTAATCTCGTCTACTACCATGGTACGTTCCTCTGTTCTCGTTTCCTGATTCTCCGTTGTAATTCGATTTGTACAATGCTTTTTTCCAGGACTTCTGCCCCGTGAAGACATTGCCACCCTGCTCGTGAAAGATGGGCAATTCCTGGTGCGGATCTCAGAGGTCAGCCCTCTTGCTATATTTTTATGCTCCTCGCCCGGACAACGGTTTCTCGCACCGGAATCTAGATTGAAATGTTCAAAGTATCATTATATTAATTCAGGGCCTAAATGTGCCGAGTATATCAAATGGTTCGCCCTAGCCGAAAACCTATCGAAAAATTGGTTTCTTTGCGCCAAAAATTGCTAAGAATTTTTTTACACGATTTGAAAAGTTAACTTTTGGGTCAAATTCGAACCTTGAACAGACAGCCTTAGCTTGTGAACCTTTCTCGACCGTTTCCGGCGCCAAAAACCCAGACTTCAGACGAGGAGCACAAAAAAATTTCCACGCTGCCGTGCATTCAGCTTAAGCCATTTTAGCCCGAGGAGAAGCAAGAAAAGGAAATCATCATCTCCTTCTACCAGAATGATGGTGGCGGCCCGGTGGTGCGCCCGAGGCGGAATAGAAGTCAGCGGGTGAGAAATGAGGATGGGCTACAATAATGACTCGATTTGCTTCAGGACAGTGGTCGAGGGACTACGGCTAAATCGGTGAACATGAGCGGCAAGCGCGGGCTGACCAAGGAGAAGGCCGACAAGCCGAAGGGACCCATCAAGCACATGATCGTCCATCTGGTCGAAGAGCAGTATTCCGTTGACCAGAAAAAGGTGGCGTCATTTTGGACTAGACTCTTACCGAGCTTTTTTTAGTGTTTTCGCAACCTCACCGACCTCATCAACTACTACAGCACCAGTGATCCGGCCGCCGGCGAGAGCCGCGCTGACGCCAAGGTGTCTACTTATACTTCTCTTCTCAACGCCCTTTTACAGCAAAAATGCCGTCTCGAGGAGCCGATACCGCGTCAGATCTGGGAGTACGAGCACAAGGACGTGAAGCTGGAGAAAAAGCTGGGCAATGGAGAATTTGGCGAGGTTAACCCGCCCTTTCAGCAAATTCACGGCCTCAATTCTAGGTTTGGAAAGGCCAACTGAACCGGAAAGGGCCTCAGCCGAAGCAGGTCGATGTTGCAATTAAACTGGTAACTTTTCTCACGATTTTGAGCACCAAGTTTTAGGCCAAAGGCGAGGTGGCGGCCGCCAAGAAGAAGCGCAAGGAGATCATGCAGGAAAGCCGTGTCATGCGTGACCTTATTCATCCGAATGTGGTGGGTGACATTTCCTTATTTTAGACAGTTTTCGATTAGGTCCGTGCTTATGGCGTAGCTGTCCTCGAAAATCCCATGTACATTCTACTGGAGCTGATCCAAGGCGGCGATCTGCTCAAATTCCTCAAGTCCGAGGCGAAGCCGACGCGCCGTGAGCTCAAGCGCATCATGTTCCAGGTTTTTACACGATTTACATGTTGTTATTTGATTATTTTCTAGTGTGCGTGTGGCCTCGAGTTTATCCACCAGAAGGAGGTCATCCACCGCGATCTGGCGGCCCGGAATTGTCTGTACGATGGCGAGCGGGTGCGTGTTAAGCAGAATTCATTTTTCACCTATCCATTGTTTTCGGTTTTTCAAAATTTATGGTCCTGGACTGTTTGCAGGGGGAAAGCTAATTTCTGTTTGTTCGGAAAACTGTATAATTCTACAAGTTGTGTGTCGAGCTGTACAGGATTACCGGAAAAATTGGGTTTCCCTCTGATAACAGTCCAGTAACAAATTTCAGAATTTTGGTGCTGAACCCAAATGTCGTTTCAGCTGCGCATCAGCGACTTTGGGCTGTCGGTGCGTGGGCCCGTGTTCTTGCTGCCGAAAAATGCGAACCAGCGCCTGCCGATTCGCTGGCTCGCCCCGGAGATTTTGACGGTACTATCCGAGTTGTTCATTTTGAAAACCTTCTTCAGCTCGGCACGTTCACCTACAAGACGGACGTCTGGGCGTTTGGCTGTCTGGTGGTCGAGATATACTCGAACGGCGAGCTCCCGCATGCCGGAAAGACGAACGGTGAAGTGAAGGAGGGCTTGGTAAGCATCGGAATTCTCCCGTAGCTTCTACCCTTTTAGGTGCAACGCCATACTGCGCCCAAGATGCCGCCCGGGATCCCGCAGGACATGGTCAACTTTTGCAACGACTACATCTGGGTTCGCGAGAAGCAGCGCACCGACATGCTCAAAGTGGTCAACCTGCTCGGCGCCATCGGCCACTTCCAGCGGCCCGTCATCGGCGGTGATGAGGAGCCGTAAGCGTTTTTTACCTCTAATATAGGGGGTCTCAAAAAGTATTTTCGTACTTTTTTTCGTCATACGCGGAAATTGAATAATTGGGCAAAAAAGCATGGTTTCACAAATTTTCCCTGCTGTGAAAATAGCAAGCGCGTCATATCAAAGATACTTTTTGTACGGAAAAAAGCCTTGAGACGGAAACCTCTTCACTTTTACGAAACCTTTCGAATCCGGCTTCCCTCAATTTCCAAGTGAAAACAAAAAAACTTTTGTTTTACGGTTCTTTCGCAATGCGGGGGGGGACTTTTTTCTTATATTGCAGTTTGGCTACGGTTTACTTTACCCCCCCCCCCCCAGCCGGAAGTTTTTGGCTATAACTTTTTTATTTTACATTATTGTAGGCTCAAATTAAAACTCTTAGTATATTTTTCGACGCTCTATCGAATGGCGTTGCGAAAATCCCGATAAAATAAGCGGAAATACCGACAACTTTGAGACCCTTCGGCTGTGGGGGGGGGGTAAAGTAAACTCTTACCAAAATTCAAAAAAATCGATTTTTTTCGACAAAAACGGGCAGTTTTGGACCAAATCCCCCTCGATGATCCACAAGAAACTATTTGCAAGGGTTTGACTTCAAGATCCGGCTGCGCATAGTTTTGATCGGGCCGTGGTTTTGTTTTGGTTCGCGCTGTGTAATTTCCAGTTTTTCCAGTGGAGCCACCAACATCCACGATGGTCCAAGCGTGGCCGAGACGTCTGGCACCCAGGACGGAGGAGGAAATGCTGCCGACGGCGAAGAGAAGAAGCCGCTACCTGCTTAATTCAGTCACGCTTGCCCCCGGCATACTCACTTACACAAATTCGTAAAATCACATTGCTCGGTTGAAATTGTATCGTTAATTCGTGTTTTTTTGATATTGCGCTTGATCGACGTGTTGGTATGGTTATCTAACCCCGCGACAACCTATATTTCTGTGCCTAATAAATCGTGATTCAGCACGCCTGTTTTTTGTCGCTTGGCAGTATCGCACAAATTCGACCTAAAAGTTGGTCCTGGACTATTCGCAGGGGGACTCGACTCGTATTTCCCCGTATTCCTACGCAAAACTACCGGAAACGTATATTTTATTTGGGGGGAACGTGTGTGAAAAAGTGTTTGTGAAAGTGTGTATATCAACATAACAATTGGAAATAACGGGCAAACGGCGACAAATGGATAATCAGATGGAAATAGAGAGAGATAGGGAATGGAGATAACAAGGAGATGAACGATAATCGAGGCGAGCAGATGGTGCCTTCTCACGACACTTGACGACGGTTGAAATTGTCGTTGATGACGCGCTCGATCAGAAGACGTCCGGCAAGGCGTTGGTCCGCATCGCCGACAATACTGAAAAGAAATGATTAATGACAAAATCATACGGTAAGCGAGAAATCAGTGAAGTCTCTACCTGATAAGCCGCGTGTCATCGTCGTGAAGCGGAAACGGCTCCTCGCCCCTCTTGTGGACGGTGATCTTGGCCCCGGTTTGTTGTTGGATGTCGATCAGGGTGCGCGCACGCGATCCCAGAATTGCACCAATGTACGAGTCGGGAACCTAAAAAACCCCATTAAAAAATGTACAAAGATGCGAACTAAAAACTTTTATGCTCGGATTAATGCAGAAAATTCTAGAACGACTTTTAGCCCTGATTTCGAGTACCAACATCCAAAATCGTTGAAATAGTCGAAATTAGCTCCGAAAGTCTCCCCAGTTAGGGCGGTGCGGAAATAAGGAGACTTCTTTACGACCGGCGAAAGAAAAAAAGGAAATTGATACCTGAACGTCGAGCTGATTCTCCTCCCTCGATTCCATGCTGCTGATGACGGACGCCGCGTGACCGCCCGCCTCGACGGTGTTCAGACGAGTGAGAAGTGGCTACAATAAAATGATCGATAGGAATCGTCAACCGGGGGGTATTACCATATTCTGCGGTTGACCCATTTGCGAGATGCTGTAGCCCCAGCATTGACTGCCCGTCGGTTGATTCTGGAAACAGCAGGTTTAGATACCACTTTCGCATGCGCTTTCACTCGGGAAGGCCAAATAGGCCCGCGCTCAGATCAGAGTCTGATCCTATGAATCTGGACCTATCTGGCCTTGCCGAGGGCGTCTAAAGACGCGAAACGCCTGTCTGCTAAAATAGAGACGTTTTTAGCGTCCCCGGATTCGAGATGAAGCCTATTCTGTGCAGAATTTTCGCTGATGAAAGTGGAACTTGGACCATATTCGAAAAGCTACGAAGCTCTAAAGAAGGGAAAATAGCGCACTTCGGCCGTTTTTGTCCTGGAAAGCATCATAAGTTTCGTATTGTTGTCGTTTCGGAGATTCTGAAGGCTACGTTCTAATCAGCGAAAAATTCTACACAAAACCTGGCCCCACTTCGAACCTACGTGGACACTCAACAAAGTTTCCCTGTAGGCATGAAAAACTGACCCCTTGTGTGTTGAAGGATTGGTCGAGGGCCGTCGTGCTTCCACTGAACACATTCGATGCGGGGTAGCCGCCATTCTCTTGACCGCTCCTCATCTGAGCCATTGCCGCCACGCCGAGCCCCAATCCGAGCCCCATGATGTTGTACTTGGCCAACACCTAAAACCGAAATATTGAAAAGTAATTGGAAAATGAACCTGCATTGCCTGCATCACCTCCGTGACGGCCATCTCGTTGAAGCCGGAAGTGCGCAGCGTTGCCTGCAGGCTGTCGAGGAAACTCAGCAGCTAGAGAGGAAAAAAATAATGCAAATGAAAAGTCGAAAATTACCTCATTGTTGCCGAGATTCTGCAGCGGGTTGAACTGGAAGGCGCCGGCCGACGAGAAGCCGTTGAACTTGGGGGCGTTGAGGGCAGATTGGGCCGAGAAGAAACCGCTCGACGCCGAGGCACCCTGAAAACGCGTTTATGACAACCAGTAGAGTTGATTTTTTTCAGCGAACTGAAACAGCAAATGAACCTTTAGAAAAAAGTGCGCAAACTTTTGGGCGAGTAAGTTTGCCAATTTTTCAAACCAAACAGTTGGGGTTTCGCCGAAAAAACTAACTCTACCAGCAAGGTAGACGTCTTTCCGCGTCTCCTACGTCAAAAACACCAAGAAATGCAAACGGACCGAGATGAAGCTGTCGTGATCCTTGTCGGCATACTGGGCGTGTTGTGGATCGGCGGCCACCCTCTCCAGCACCCGTTCAACGGCCTCGAGCAGCTTCTAGAAAAGCAAAAATACTTGAAAAAAGGCGGATGAGTACGTGAAGGTCATCGTGGGCCATGGTGACGACGCGTTCCTGTGAGCTCTGCGCCTCGACGGTGCCCGATTTGGGGAAAACCTGAAAAATGCGATATTCCAATCGTCAGAAAGACAAAAACTGGCCCAAATATCTTAGGACATGGAAGGCGGGAATTCATCAATAATAATAAATAATAAATCATTTGCCTCCCCGCGAAATATAACCATAACGATCCTTTCTTTCGTATATAACCTGGTTCTTTCGCATTATCGGGTACTGACTTTTCCTAGGATCTGACGTGAAAACTATACAAAATATGATTAAAACGTCAAAATGCGGATTTTTTCGACCGAAATAGTCATTTTCGAAAACTTTTTAGATAGTTTGTAGTTGAAAAATAGTCGTTTTTACTAAAAACACTTGCGATTAAGTCACTAGACATTTCTAGACTTATACAGAAAAGGTTCGGTTACCCCTCCCGATAATGCGAAAGCATCCGCACCAAATAGTCCCTCTTGAGCTAGAGGGCAAATAAACACACCTGAATCTGACATCCGGTTCCCTCTCGAATATCGCGAATGTTCATCCCGCCCCTTCCGATCACCATCGCCGCCGACGTGTTCGGCATCAGGATCTTCACTTCATTTGCCCTCGGCACATCCTTGTGGTCGAACGGATCGCGTGCTGAGCCCTCCACCTTGCCGCGAATCTTCCCCATTAGCGTCTCGATGACGATCATCACTTGGCTGATGCGGCCTCGCACCAGGCAGATCCGCTCGTTTGTGCCTGGAAAGAAAAGCGGATTTTCGTAAGAAAGAAAAGCAGATACCTGGATATACGTCCTGGTTTTTGCTCATCTGCACCCGACATTTCGTGTCGTTCTTGAGTGTGCGCATCGTCTCGCCGCCCTTTCCGATGATAGCGCCGACTGCCGATGATGGGATGAGTATCTTCAGCAGGACATCTTCTGAAAAAAAAGAATAAAGTGATAAGCCGTTGCAAAATTTGCACTTTTTCAGAATGTATATTAGACTCTAGGCGATCTTTAACGTCCAAATAAGCCAAGGGAAACGGCATTTCTCCTTCACGTAAAGTCCAAAACCTCGAAAAGCCCACCATCATCATCCTGTAGATGTGCTCGCTTGACGGCCGGCCCGTTGCCATCATCGTGGGTCCGCTTGAGCGTGTCTTGTAGAAACTCGTCGGACATTGGCCGCCTGAAATAGAGGACTTTGAGAGGAGAGGACGGCGGAGAAAATAGCGAACGGAATAAAATAGAAATAATAGAAAACGATAGCGGGGAAACGGTAAGATTGAGATGGCCAAAAAAAGACTGCGCGCGCCAAAACAAGAGAGAAGCTAGAGTAATTAGCGGAGCGGGAAAAAATCCAAGAAAATCAGAAGAATCGGTGCACCAGCCGAACGCGCAACGTCTCCGTTGCCATGCGGGGTACGGTACCGCGGGCACCGGTTAGGTTTCAACTCTTCGGCGTTGGGGCCTGATTCTCCAAACGAGACCAATAAAAATTGTGAAACATTGGAATTTTCTCTGAATTTCATTAATTAGCGGATGGATTTTAAGCAAATAATCGCTGCTAGACTGCCTCGGAAAAATATTGGGTTCTATAAGGATCTCTGCACGTTACTGTATGTTCGATATATTTAAAAGTTTATGAAAATTTTAGACATTTAGTTGAAACAGGCAACTTTGACATTTTTCTGAAGCAAGAATAGCGGAAGTAGCTATTATAGAGCTAGAAAGGATTTCTTTTTAGCGTTTTTTCTTTAGCTACAAAATTCAAATCTTGGGCGCGCTAGCCGAGGGTAATCACCGCGTTAAAAGCAGAAATACATTCCTATTTAATCTGCGTCGAAACATGCTTTTTTAGACGTCTCCGGATACCAAAAAATTTCTAGTGGTATCCGCAATTGGACGATGCCAACCTACAGTCTTTTATTCAAAGAATCTGTGCTAGTCGCCTAGTCTAGTAAAAGCGGCTTTCTCAAAGGGCGGCCGCCAGAAAAGCGGAATTTTGAGGAGGCCTACCTGGAAAATGATGCATGGAAATGAGGTAGATCGAAAAGTGGCGTGCCGGCAGACACTGACTTTGGCATGGATGGCATGGACATCGAAGCAAGCAGGCTGTGGTTTTGGGAGGCAAGTTTATCTCATTAACTTTTCTAGTGCAATGTGATTATTTTCACATTCTCCAGCCCTAGAAATATATTTTATAAAAATTTACAAGAAAATGTCGACAATCCCGGCACCCAAAACTCCGACAGATCATCAGACAGCTCATTTTGATCTACACACATACCTACACATACCTTTTTGCCTATCCTATTGTTTATAGCACTTCCCTACGCGTCGATTACGCCAGAAACCACTAATTCTTGCCGGATGCTGTGCTGTGATTCTTCTGGTATTTCTGCTGCCATTACACGCCATACTTCATCCCGTTTCCGGCGCAATTCCGATGACTCCAGCGGAATGGTGAGAGTAAAGTAAAAACCATTTTTCAATAGACTTTACTATCATCACCTTCGGTCAGAGAATTAAGCGTCAGCCGGAGAGTACAGGCATTAATATTTTTGAAACATTTTTTCGGTTCGCGAAAATCTGCTTGTAGGCACGCAGTATCCTATAAAATCTTAACCGTTTTTCACTGGAAATGATGCCATTTTACTCACAGGAATCGCTCGGATGCGCTGGACGCGTGGATCAAATCGTCCCCGGCAGCCGCAGCGCTTCCGCGCCGCGGTTCGCTTTTCTGCTGGGTGATGACGTCGTCGAAAACGCATCACCGGGTCGGTACTTTATGACGCCTTAACGCACAGCTATTACCAGCTACCTAACCATTTCTAGCGAGTTTTTCTGCGAAACACCTTTTTTGTAAAATTTGTACGCCGGTTTGGTGTCAATTTTAGTTTTTGTCATAGTTTACTCGAATTTAACCGGAAATATCTGCACTCTCTCTTTCTCTCTCTCTCCCTCTGACTCTCTCTCTCTCTCTCTCTCTCTCTCTCTCTCTCTCTATCCCTTCCCTAGGTGCCAGCCGTGAACGAAACCTGGCTACCCCGTTGTGACCACGGCCAATTCTACACGAATGCGCCGATTGAGATCGATGGACAACTGGCTGATACGATACCCTTTTCTACGGTATTTGCGGGTAGCTTACGAAATTATAATTTTCTACCGGTGGGCGGCACTTACAAATCATTTCGTTACTTTCCAAAAAGTCGAAATTCGTACTGTCCATTTTGGATCGTGACCATTTTATCAGAAGCAAATCGGCCGGAAAATCCTTTAAATAGTACGCAACAATGCCGATATTATGCGAGGTCGACAATATCATAAATCGGGTTTTCGTACCTCACGGATTTAGAAAAAGTATGCTTCATTCTAAATAGAGGCAGTCAGGAAACGAAACTAAACAATCAGCACATAATCTCGAAATGTATCAAAAAAAATGTTTCTAAAAATCCCCCAAAACCTTTCGAAACAATAACAACACAAAACTTATCAATTTCGACATTATGACAGGAAACGGGCGTAGGTATTTTACGTAGCCAAGATCTAGAAAAAGTATGACATGAAAAACTAGGGAAATAAAAAAACATACTTCGACAATTTCCAGTTGATAATACCCTAAATTTCTCTTCCAGGCCTCGAGGATAAATACGAGAACCTGTTTTTCAAAACGATCTACGCCCTCCACTATTCATATACACATATTTCACGCGATTTTGATTGGTATTTAAAGGTATCTAAAGCTAAGGCTATGCATTTTGTTCTTCTGTAGCCTCAGGTGCTTGAGATTAAACGAAAAATTGATAATTTTCAGGCTGACGACGACACTTACGTCGTGGTGGAAAACCTTCGCGAATACCTCTCGCATCTTAACCCAAATGAGCCTCATTATGCTGGTTTGAGATTGAGACCGAAGGAGCACGGATGGTTTCATCACGTTGTCCTACGGACTAATCCAAAATTGGTATTTGCTCTTATTATCGAATCAAACATCTTCTCAAACTTAGTCGCAGTCAGAATTTGGAAATTTCAGTTCTTTTGGCTTATTGGGGGGGTCACCAGGAGGAGCACCAACATTATTTCTTTAGTATCAATTTTTTTCAGATACACGAATCGAATAGGAACTAAATTTTCGAACTGTTTTTAATGTCTACGCTTTTTACTTAACATTTTTCTACGTAGAAATTTTGATCAAAAAGTACGGAAAAATCGATTTTCCGAGCAAAATGTGCAAATTTTCTAAGTTTTTGGCTAGTTGCTTCGCTTTCAATATAGTTAAAACTTACCAAAAAGACGATTAAAATAAGTACTAGCACGTTACTATAAAAAAGCCCATATTTTCGGTCGAAACACTGATATTTTGCGTATTTTTGGTAAAAACTTTGTATCTCTATTTTGCGTAACTATAGTTTTTACGGCTCGGAAACGGCAAAACACGTTTAGAAATGCGACATTTATTTATATTAGAAAAATTGACAAATAAAAAGCTCATGCTTGCATCCCCCCTGATAATGCCAAAGAACCACAAAATTTGACTTTTGAACTCCATTTTTTCCGGTCAGCTACAACTCGGGGGGTGCTGGTTATGTCTTATCGAGGGAGGCGATGCGACGTTTCGACACTCTCCTCTACGGTAATACGACGTTATGCCCCGATGATGTTAATGAAGATTGGGGGCTTGGAAGGTATCTGGTAAAATAATGATAAAAAATGTATCTTTAGATGCTTGGCAAATATTGGTATCTTGCCAGCCGACACTAGAAATTCTCATGGGCAGCAGAGGTATTGGATTTATCGAAACAGCGTTTTTATACAGATTTCGCCGCGACACGCAACGCGCACGCGCCGCCTAACCGGCCTGGGGCCGTAATCCATTACGCTATGAAAATGCCGTCATGCGCTTTGCGTCTCGCGGTTGCGGAAAAACTATGAAAATGCGAACTGAACAAACCCATAACATTTAAAGGGATCGTCAAGTCAGGGAAACAGATTTCGCGCAGGCCGCACAACTCAAAGCGCCGTTTAGCCGCCTTCAAACCGGGCGTAGTCGATTACGCTATACAAGTACAGGCGTGCGCGTTGCGTGTCGCGTGGGGGCGTGACATTTTCGATTTCCCGCGTGCTTCTTGTGGTCAAAATATCGTAACCGATTCGGCAAGCAAAATTTTGAAATGCGTTGCGTGTCGCGGCGCGGCAAAATGCATGGCAAATCCATAAAAATATCCTGCCGGTTCTTTTAATTAATACTTATAGATTCAACGGCTACCCTCCTCGGATGATCTTTGAAGGAAAAGTCAGTTCGAAATGGATTTTGGATGATCCTCCCTTGGTATTTGTGGTTTTTGACAGTATGTTTCTTGGTAGCCGAACAACTTTCTCGGCCACGACATGATCTCTTTGCATCATATTTCTGCTAATGAAATGAGGGTCAGTTTCTTGGATTCTAGAGGGTACTAAAGGCATAAGTAATCATATTATACAGATACAAAAGTCATCAGTAAAGTAACCAGAAAAAAAAATACGCAATTAATGACAATAATGATAATTAATGACGCAAAAAACGAAAATTTTGATTATTTTGAAGAATCATTGAAACACGCTTTCTTTCTTCTCGAATTCAGACCTACGATCGTCTAATCTATCTCGTGCAGCCAGCGGCCAATTTTCGAAAGCAAAATCATCAAGAAGGTCGGCTCAGCTACAAATAGTTCATAAATAAATGGGCGGAAAGCACTAAAAATTTTCAGTGAATAAATGATCAGCCAATGGTTTCCACAGCTCACTAGTCCTAGAAAAACGGGTTAATCTTCTTTATGCATGAAACATTATCTTTTTAAGCATAGTCACAATATTCAAATTTAAGCTACCACGGGTAGTAAATACCACTATGACTTTTTTCTAAATACAGAATCTCCTATTTTCTAAATCTACAGGTCTAGCCGTTCTTTTCCTAAATAATCTCTGCTAGGTTCACGACTCTGCCGCCCATTTTACACCCCCCCCCCCCCCCCCCCCAAAATACCTGCCAATTGTCCTTAAATTCAGATTTTTCTTGGCTGAACTTTCCTCAAAAATCCCTGTAACGTTACCATGAATTCAGATAAAATCACGGAAAAAATAAACGTTTCGAAAAAACTATGGATGGCCAATGCGATGCCTTTCTCAATTACCACGGCAAATCGTAGTAAACGGTGGTCAAATTATTTTTTGCATCATCCATCAAATGACCACTTCAATTGGTTCTTTAGCATTATCGGGGGGGCAGATTCTACGTATATTTCGAGAAATACCTACTAATCTATTAAATGTTAGGGTTCACCAGTGTTTATGGTCAAATTTAACCCTATTTGAAGTGGCTAAACAAGCGAAAACTTATACAAAATTTTAGTCGTAATTATAGTCGAAACATCGTTACTTTTGGCATTTTTTGCATCAAAAATTTTTGCGTTTAGGAAAGTAAATACATGTGTGAAAAAAAACTGCGTATTATCACCAACCTCCGGGGAATTGGGAAAGTGGTTTCCATGAAACATGTTTTTGGACGCGTGTTCTCAAAAGTGGGCTTTTTCTGGATTAGCCAAGCTTTCAGGAGGCAGGCCCAATAGATGCTAATTCGGAATTAAACAACGTGTTTCATTTTTAATTGCGAGGAGACATCAAAACACATCTTTTGTACCGAGTTTTGCCCCACAAAAAACATATGAATACGGTTTACCACAATGCGTTACATCGAAACTACGAAAACTGACAACCACAACTAATAACTAACACGTAAACATGTACGAGATTGCCAATTTAGAATTCTCAATGAACGGTGCTTGCTTGTCTGGCAGGCATGGTGCTAGCATTATCGCGGAAAATCCAATATACTTCCCACCTTTTCAATTTTTATATTTGAAAGATATATTATTAAGATATAGATTTATATCCAGATAACCCCCCCCCCCCCAGCCACCACCCAACTTTAGTATCTCGGCTCCCTGTTCATCTACAGATGTGTAAAGTATACCAAAATGTTCGTCTTGCTGTGGCGAGTATTTTGGTATACTTTACACACCTGTAGATGAACAGGGAGCCGAGATACGGTAGGTCGGGGTCGGCTGGGGGGTATCTGGAGTTTAGCCATTGCGTCTAATGATCCCTCCACCAATTTTTTACTTTCCAGAAAGCACCAAACACATTTTTTCACCAATTTATTCCCAATAAAAACACATAAATATTAACAAAGAAATCATATAATCACAAGACATTACAAAGAAATACAATAATTAATTATTAAGGGGGGGCATTAATCCCTTTTGGTCTCTCGGCATCCGGGCACTTGTGCATTAGCGGGTGGTGGGCGTGGCTTGGGCGTTTGCCTGGCGGGTAGCCGTTGTGAGATGGCGGATGGTGTTGAGGAGGCGAGTCCCATCTGGCAGCCATTCTTCCATTGCCGTCTAAAAACACATAAAATACAATCAATTTTAAAGGGATTGGCAAGGCAATATATGGGATATATATTGCCTTGTCAGTCCCTTTAAAAAGTCCCTATAAAATACCTGCAGACGTGAGATCGTGTTTCGCACAAAATTGAGTCTTTCTTCCGCTTCTGCATGGCCATCCGGACGCATGCCGTCGAGAACCTAGAAACGGATGGGGTATTATTGGTACTGGGCTGTTAACGGGGGGGGGGAAGGGTGAGGATCTGGACTATAGACCCTTATATAATAGCAAAATTTTTGCTGGTTAGGAAGGTATGTTTCGTAGTCTTCAATTACCAAGAGTCATAAAAACACTCCTACTCCATACAAACAAGGAAATTTTGACATTTTGATAAAATCCATTCCTATAAAAGTTCCATTCCTGTGTCCTAGTTAGCAAACAGTTAAACTAAAATAAAAAACATTGATACCAATTTTGTATCTGAAAATACCCCCGGTAACAGCCCAGTACCAGTAGTACCAAAAAAAGAACATTTCCATACCGCCTTGGTCTCGTGTTGATATGCTCCGATGGCCACCTCCAGATCCCGATTGAACGTGTTGAACTTGTTGGTGAAGTGGGCGAGCCCGTCTTCGAGCAGTCCCTTCCCCTTTTCGGCCATTTCTTCAGTTGTTCCCGGGAAGAGGTCCGTGATCTACAAGAAGAGAGAGTAATTAGTAGAGAGAGCGAGAGAGAGAGAGAGACCGAGAGAGAGAGAGAGAGAGAGAGAGAGAGCGAGAGATACCCACATTCTCGTGTTGTTTGTGGCGTCTCCAGGCGCATAGGGCGCAACAGATTTGGGAACACTGGCCGCATGATAGCATTCGCCATCCCTCATTCGTCTCCTGAAGAAGGAAAAGATAGTTAGAGGGTACTGGTGCATTAGCGGGGGGCCGGCAGCCGACTAACTGGCCTACTGTATTTCGGCTGCCCATTAACATACAGAGTTGTAAAGTATACCAAAATACTCGCCAGGCCAAGACGAGTATTTTGGTATACAGTACACCCCTGTACGATAGAGGACAGCCGAGATACAGTAGCCACAAGACCCATCAAATTACCTCACAATCGAAGCACTGGTAAGATGACATTCTTCCCTTGATTTGCATATTGGCCGCCTGTCGATCCAGAAAATCGATGAATTGGTTGATGAGATTGTGGGCCGAGGGGGCATTTCTGGAAAAAAACGTTCTAATTTTTCGCAAATTATGCAAATTAGCCACGAAATGTTAAGTTACATCCGGTTTTCGAGGAGGATAATAGAGGACAGCCAACAAATGGTCTCTGCTAGCCTGTCCTGGACTATTTGTCCCAAATAATCCCTGCTAGCGTCAATTTCCGAAATGGTCACTGCTCGTTTGCCGCATCCGGTGGAAAGTGTACTAGCTTGCATGGTCAGTAATTTCCAAATGATCTCTGCTCGCATGCCTCGTCAGTTCCCCAATGGTTTCTGCTAGCATCCCCCATCCTCATTGCCCACTAATAGACATCCTATAGCCCAATAGAATTAATGAAATATCTTTCCAAAATGGTCTCTGCTAGCCTGCCTTACTAGCCGTCTCCTCTGGCCCCCAAATGATTTCTGCTAGTTTGCCAAGCTCCAGTAAAGCACTAATAGATCACCACATTCCCCAATTTGTTTCTGTCAAACCCCCCCCCCCTATAACAGAAAAGCCCTCACGTGAAGGCATCGTCGTGTCGACAGAATGGGCATCTGCCATTCGTGCTCCCGTCTTGTCGGGCGTTTGTCGAAATACGAATAGCACACGGCATGCAGACGGCATGACCACATTTCATATCGTAACACTGACGGGTGATGCTCATCTACAACACAGAGAGATTATTGGGGAATTAGAGAGAGAGAGAGAGAGAGAGAGAAAGAGAGAGAGAGAGGGATGACCTGTTCATTGCACACGTTGCAGTCGGGGGCTTTGATGGTGTGATTGGTGTTGATCATCCATCGGTCCGGGGTACGGTAGATGAGGCCGGGCGACGACTGCAGCAAGTCCACCACGTAGAACGCCGTCGACTGGAAGCAAAGAATTCGTTTTGGATACTGGTGCATTAGCGGGGTGTGACCTAAAAACACCCGCTACAACCCCCCGTGCTAACGGACCAGAACCGCGCTTTGGCCAAAAGTAGGAAAAATGGTGCCAATGCTTGAAATTTTCGGGTTTTTTAGGTTTAGAGGGTCTTAACCCCCCGCTAAGAGACTAGAACCGATCGTCGATCAAATACTTTTGGATTTTGGAATTTTTAGGTTGTTTAGGCATATTGGGATTTAATCTCATCCTCCCCCGCTAATGATCAAGCACCGTCTTTCGTCAAAAGACGCAAAAAATCGCCAATTTTTTAGATTTTTGGATTTAGATGCTTTTTGCCCTCTTCCCCCCCCGCTAATGCACCAGGCCCAAAACAAAGACTTTAGAGACGACGCACTATAACAATGCATACCTTGGCAATATACACTCTCTTAAATAAAAAGAAACAACCTTTTTAGATCTCTTAAAGGGAGAGTGCCAGAAATAATAAAAGAAATAAATACCGTACACTTTGCTGTTGTGTCGGAACACAGCGCGAGCAAATGATCTTGGCTGATGGATGGACACGCTGAGGACGATGAACATCTCCATCAAATGGTAGATGACACATTGGACAGTTCAGGCAGGAGACCATCAACTGAGCATGAGGTGGAGCAGGACGAGAAGGAGCAGACATCCTGGAAGACCAAAGAATTTATTACTATCTAAAACAGGGCAATCTAGCAGAGACATTTGGGGGAAATAAAGTCGTCAGATTAGTGTCTTTTAGTGGGCGTATAACTTGGTAAAAATTCCTCGACGATCACCGCGCGTTTTTGGTGCTTTAAGAAAAAAAAAAGAATGTTTCAGCTCTCTTTCTTGGAAAATGCGAGCTAATTTTTCTGGTAATGCCATACGGCTCAATAACGGAAAATAAATCATTTTAATACCCTTTTTCACTGTTTTACATAGAAAAAATATAGAAAATTTTCAAAAATTACGAGAATTTGGACTTTTTGTTCAGGAATGTATGAAAAATGGCCAAAAGAAGCGAACCCATAAAAATTCCAAAAAAATGTTTTGTAGCTTTCTAGCAACCAAAAGTATTAAAAACACTAGAAAAACTTAGAAACTATCATCAAGAGGAAAAACAAAAATCAGTTTTCCCCTGCTACAAATCCCCCCCTACTAACAGACCAGTACCGGACAACCTAGCTGAGGCCATTTGACGAAATCCATTAGTGCGCAAGGAAAATGGGTATTCACGCCAAAGATATACATACTTCTCCATCAGCCCTAAGACTTTTAGAAAAAAAACTTTCGCCTGAAAAAAGAGGTTTCAGCTCAAGATGTTCTAAAAAACAATGAGGGGTTCAATAAACATGGGCTAGTCATCTTGAATTGTGCCGCTCTAGGGCTAGCTAGAGCAGAGTTACTTTCGGTAGTGAAAATCTAGGGCAGGCTAGCAGAGATCGGTTGCAGATGTTGATAACGGGGGGAGGTAGCAGAAACCATTAGAGGCTCCCAGAGCTATGGGCAAGCTAGCAGAGACCATTTAGGGACCGGATGCTGTCGGTTATTATTGCGCTTTTCAGGTGTGAGCTACCCAGTGGACTGGAATACTTTCCACCAGATCCCAGCGAGTTCAAAAAAGCTGTTTCACCCATGGTATTGCAGATATTTTTCAGATGAATTCTAATAACGAGCCTCCCGTTGTAGCGGGATAAAGCCAAATGCAAGGAAAAATGAATAATACATAGAAATACAGATCATTCCTGTTTCCTTCTAGTTTTACCCCCATGTAAATGCTATAGAAAAATAACAACAAAAGGTTCACCCTCACCCCCTAAAAAGAAAGGCTAACGCTTCTAAAATGACAGCTGAAACTCAAGGAAATGGCACGCTTTTTAACCCCCAATAAAAACATGTAAAATGGAGAAAATATAAGCTAGAAACGCAGAGACCAAAACCCAAAAAGTTTTTAGAAATAAATGTTTCAACAAACTCAGAGTTCCCAAAGAAAAACCTTACCTTACAATCCGGGGGAAGAGCAGCAGCCGGATGGGAGCTGTCGATTTGTTGAGAATGAAATGTTTCCGAATTATTTCCCAACCAAATCACAGGAACCGGAAGTTCATGCTAATTTTGCATGCAAATTACGAATTTAAGTTTTTGTGACTGAGGAAAACTGATTTCTTTTCTGCGGCCAAACTCGTTTGAACATTCTTTTTGCAATCGGTCTGTTCCGGATTTTTTTGTTGTTTTTTTTACCAATTTTGTAAGCTAAAACTAATCATAAAAAGTTGTATAGTTCATTAAATTTTATTGAAAATATCAAATCCGCCTCTCACTCTATCTAACTCTCTCTCACTCTCTCTCGCTCTCTCTCGCTCTCTCTCACTATATCTCTCTCACTATCTATCTCTCCCTCTCTCGCTCTCTCTCACTCTCTCGCTTCCTCTCGCTCTTTCTCTCTCTCTCTCTGTCTCTCTCTCTCGCTCTCTCTTTCTCTCTCGCTCTCACTATATCTGTCTCGCTATCTATCTCTCCCTCTCTCGCTCCCTCTCTCGCTCTCTCTCTCTCTCACTCTCTCTCGCTTCCTCTCGCTCTCTCTCTTGCTCTCTTTCGCTGTTTCTCTCTCACTATACCTCTCTCACTCTCGATCTCTTCACACACTCTCTCTCTCTCTCTCTCTCTCTCTCTCTCTCTCTCTCTCTCTCTCTCTTTCCCTCTCTCTCTCTCTCTCTCTCGCTTTCCATCCCATGTATTTGCCCATATAAAAACAAATGTCTCATTTATTCGTTGAGTCATGCGATGGACGTAATTGGCATTGAACGTAGATGTAGGTAGTAGATGGCTGCTGGCCTCATCCGAAACGCAGTGGACGCGGCTTTTCCTGGCTGAAAATGACGATTTAGATCGACTTTCCAGCTGATTAGAAAGTTTAGGATTTGTCGAGCGTTTACGTCGTTTTATTGGAAGGTAACATTCAGCCCAGACTTTTTCTATCCTTAAAACATATATTTGGAAAATTCTGATGCCATTTACAACGACTGGTTTTGTTTATTTTGCTTGTTTTTTTGGTTTTTTTTTAGGTTTTTAGGTTTTTATTCCTTTTAGATCCAGTAGTATTTTAAGTAAAAGCTTTGGGTAAATTTGATACTAGTGCCCCCATAGTAACGGATATTCGGTTACTCCTGTCTTTTTGCGACTTCGAAACACATTTTCCAAAAAGTTGCAAAAACGTTCGAAGTGATTTTTCAGTCTTTTTCCGGGTCACCGGGACCTGTAGCTCCTTTATTTTTTACATTTCGGATTTTTTCGGATTGTCGCGGTGATTTTGCTAGTGCAACAAGCAACCAAATTAGATAATTCCAACAAATCCTAACAATTTTCCGTTTTGAAGCTTATTTCTCGCGTCTCAAAAAAGCACTCCTTCGAAGTTAATTTTAAAAGTAAAGGATTTTAAACGAAAACTCAATCCAGCTTGATAATGGGCACTAAAATTTCACGAAGTTTCCGAAGCCACATTAGGCTGTTTCATCAAGTGATGATATTGTTGTGGGGTCGAAACACATTTTCCTCGACACAGCAAATCGGA